TAACCGTTTTTAAAACTTGATTTTTGACAAAGTAATAACTTTTAAAATTAATTTTAAACCATTAAGGAGTAATTTTATTCAAAATCTGAGGAGATTTTTATCTTAGATAATTGTTCAAGCATTCTGAAAATCTACCGGAAAGTTTTTCTAGCTTGCTCCTTCATAAAGATATTCGTCATTGAAGTTTGTGCTTTTTTGAAGAATTATTTTATAAAAACGTCAATTTTGCGATTTAGTATTCTCTGGTGTTGGGCCATGCCTTGAGTTGAGGAGCTCAGTTCTGCTTCCTATAGGTATAAATTGTGCATTAGGCTAGTTTTGAAGTTGAAAATCGAAAAGTTGCACACGTGGGGACACGCCCAAATTGATAGAAAATTGCTAAAATCACTGAAAATTGCTGTTTTCGTCATTTTCTGTCAACTTTAGAGTGCCGTTGTGATTACAGTTCTTCTTGAAATACTTTCAAACTTTGCATGCTTATCAAGCTATATATAAAACAATTACATGAAAAAATTTACGGCGATTCAATATTGGATGCGCACGCAACGTCCGCTCAAAGTTTGCACGTGCGAAAGGTGAGAATTTTGCTCATTCGTGATTTCCAACAAATTCTGCTTTGCCACGACAGTTTAATGTCATTATATATGAATTTAATGCCAACTTGAATGAGTATTAGGTGGCATATTCAGTCAGTGATCGACCGATATGCTTACCTAAACACAAGGAAATGTTTTTAAAGGAAAATTTCGAAATCGTTGAAACTTCCTCCTTATTAATTAATGAAGATATCAGTTTATATTTCGACTTTATAAAATACCCTGACATTATAATCAAAAAGAGATGATATTTTACCAAAACCCATATTCATGGGTAGAGTGGACCGCTGCCAGTGTCTCTCTTTCCCAAACAAAAGGAAATGATATTAATTTGATTGACCGTTCTCAAATGCAAAATGATACCGAGAATGAAATCGGTCGCTCGCTTTTCCCATTCATTTACAATTGTAATAGATTAAGAAGATCTACCCAAAGGCAGCTGTACTCGGCAATAAAGATTCAATAAACTTCAGCTAATTCAATAAGCAATAACTACTACCCTTACCCCGAAATACTAGGTATCGATCCGAACGCAACCCAAAGAGATTTGTACAGCATCTGACTGATGTAATCAATCGAAATTTATTACAATTCGTAAGCCGTGAATGAATGGAAAAAGCGAGCGACCGATTTCATTCTCGGTATCATTTTGCATTTGAGAACGGTCAATCAAATTAATATCATTTCCTTTTGTTTGGGAAAGAGAGACACTGGCAGCGGTCCACTCTACCCATGAATATGGGTTTTGGTAAAATTATGACTTATGTATTTACTATCATTGTATAATGAATATGCAGAGCGCATGTTTTATTCAAAACAGCTGACGCCCCCTAGCTATAAAGTAATAAGCGATAGTACAATAGGTGTGCCGGGTACCCTTGTACTCTACTATATAAGCCCATATTGTGTTAATAGGATGATAAGCGGCTTGCTTTATAGGTTATACTTCGGTTATAGGGACTTCCTTGAGTCAAGTGTATGAGGGCGCTTATAGTAGTAAATCTGGGGGAGGGTTTAAGTGGAGTACAGCAATGACCAGGAGACCTCTGAGATGGTGTTTATACATGCAGCTATGCATAATATGCATTATGCATGGACTAACCCATAATTTCATGATGGGTTTAAGGTTCAAATTAAAGTAGGTTAAGACTGCCGCTGCAACGAATACATAGTACAGTAAAAACTTATTTACCACAATTCCCGTTTTACCGAGGCTGTTTCCTCCCCATATGACTAGATCTTCTCAAAACTTGCCATTTATTTATACTGTTGCCCTCTTCTAAACAATACAATCAGTTACAAGAATTTTTTTTTCCGTAGAATGACTACCGTGCTGAATCTCGTGTCCGGTTCCTACACTCTACTTGTGATCCTACTGGACTTTATGGGGAATGGGTTTGTCCTCTTTGCGACGATAGCACGTAATGCCATAAAACTGGACAAAATGTGCGTTTGGATTATCCAGAATCTAGCTGCGGTGGATATCCTGAACGGAATCTGTGTACTTGCTCCCACGGCTATAACCTACTTTTTGGATTGCTCGTGGTTGTTGGGTGCGACCATGTGTAAACTTATCTTTGCGTACAAATACAGTTTTTTTATTGGAAATATGTTTCTCATCAACTTCCTCTCCCTGAATAAGCTAATCAGATGCTTGTACCCTCTTAGAAATTTAGTGAGCACCCGACGTCAGAGGTTGGCGGTTACTTTCTTCGTTCTCTCGCTCATGCTGTTAGGAGTTGCCCGCAAGCTTTTTTCAGTATTCATCACCAAAAAAGCTCAAGTGCGTTTCTCCAGAATTCACAGTACTTGTATAGCTTATGAACTCGATGGGGATGGAACAATGAAGGATTTTAACCCATTGGTGGAAAGAGTAATGGGTATTATATTCGTCATTTTGCCTTGCATTTCCTTGCTTATCATTAACGCCACCTTAGTGGTATTCGCAGTCAGGTCCACCAATAGGAGGGTCAACAGAAAGAATTTGGTCATCGTCCTCCTCGTAACTCTCACATTCGTTGTTACTTTCACTCCTTTTGCTGTCCAGTACCAGATGTTTGTTCACAGTTTCCATTCCGCCCCCATCAGCTTCCGCATAGGACTCTTCGTTGGGTTCATATCTTCATTCAGCAATCCTTTTATCTACATAGCAACTAACGACACCTTTAAGAGATTTGTGAAAACGACCACGAGTTGTTTTATCTTTGGATCATGGGCAAGTCTGCATATGGGAATACAGAAAATCTCATCTCGCTTGCGATCAACTCAAGCGGGGGAAAGCGGAAATAAAGATGGAATATTGGTGGTAAATGATGTAGCAGTAAACGTTAAACTAGAGGATAGTAAAACAAAAGCAAGCAAACGTAGCTGATACAAGGGAGGAAAAGTACAGCCGCGAATAATTAGAGGAATTACAAGTAACAATGTAACGTACAAAACAGGTTAACTATGGGAGGAAAAAGAGAAGGAATCTGAAGTATTGGGAAAAGGTGCAGAGGAAGCAATAAAAGCTCAACTTAAGGAGTTGGAAAAGGTGGAGACAGTTGTTATAGGAAGATAAGCAAGCAACAAGAGTGAAACTAAAGGAGGAAACAAAGACTGGAGCTGAATTGTTACTGTTGTTACTGAATCTGAGCAAACTGAAATATTCGATAAAATTTGAAGGAAATTGTTGTAAGAGATATTATAAGTAACAATAACCGCACCAATCGAGAGAAGGATGCTAAACAATTTCCATAGGGTAATGAGAATAAGCTAAGCACATGGAAGAAAACGGCACGTCGGAATCATCCGAAAAACGCTCAGTAGAGACATGAAAATATTCATAATTTTAAAATATCCACTTTTTAATTTGAAGGGCGACATTTTACCTGGGGACCGGCCCAGGCTATTATTTTCATAAGCATATTTACTCTATTCATAAACATATTAACTCTATTACGCCGAATAGAGATTCGGCGGAATGACAGGCTGAGCGCCGCCGCGCCCAGTAAGGCGACATTGTGTTTTTAGATGTTTTATGTTTAAATGTAGATCTGAGCTTGATATCTAAATAAAATAATCTGCGCAATAACCTAATAACTAGTTTTGCTTGTCAAATGTGTATAAATTTGTGTTTATTTATTGTAATTTAAATAATGAGAGGTTATAGAATTTGCTGCTAATGCTATTTAAGGTTTTATTAGCAAACTATCTGCCGATAAATTTCGCAAGTAGAGGTATGAAGTTCTTTAAAAGATTGTAAAAATACTTTCACTGCGTGATGACAGTTATTTTTAACATTGTACCGATATCTACGCTAACTATGGGTTTTACTAATTTAAGGTAGAGTCGTGGCATGGAATTGGCTGAAAACGACTCTTTTGATTTTTGTTGAGTGAATGTGACACATGATTATACTTTGAATTTTGACACTGTGTTTAAAAAGGCTGTGTCCGGATTTAAACTTTATTCAAAAAATAAAAGTGAATAAACAATATTTTTGATAAAAATGTATTTCTGAAGTTATCATTTTATACACGCCAGAATTTACATTCTACAATCGCTGCTTTTAAAATAATCGATAGGCACTACGGCATATAATAATACAATGGCATAATAATACTACAGGCTGATTGAGTCGTGTAATATTATTGAGTCTCATGATTTCATGTTTCTTTCATTCAAATTTCTGATTATTTCTGAATAGACTCAGTCTATTCAGAAACAATCAGAAATTCGAATGATGAAACATCAATACGATAGGCATACAATTGTCAGAAACAATCAGAAATTTGAATGAAAGATAGGCATACAATAATACAACAAACAGGTTTATAAAAGAAAATAAACATTTACCATAGCTGTCTTATTCTTTAACTCTTTAGCACTTTGGTGGTTTGAACAACGTATCAAGCTGTCTTATTCTTTAACTCTTTAGCACTTGGGTGGTTTGAACAACGCATCGTTGGAATGTGCGAAGAACACAACAAAGCTTGGGCATTAAATACTCGTTCACTGCCGTACTCGTTCATTGTTGATATGCCATTACGGATCAATGATTGTTTTCTTGTGCGTGTTGACGGACGATCATAATAACATCTAACTTTAGAGTTAAATCAATTGTGTTTTACAAACTAAATAGTATTACTCTTTAGCCAACATTGTCAAATTAATTCTAAAACTGTGACCAGAAAACAATGGAAAGATATATCCCAAATGCATAATCTAAACCAAAATCTCCTCTTTCATCACCTTTTATATTTCCATGATAAAGTGAGTCATGTGATCGTTTTAGGAAACTTCCGCCCTTGTTTCATGTGATCGACTTTCGCCCTTCCATCTTCCGCCCTCGTGACCTCCACCCTCGCGACTTCCGCCCTCGTGACCGATCCCTTTAAAACTCCTTCCTACTCAATTTCACGTCCCTTTTAAAAGCTCCCATTTCAGGTGTCCTCAAGCGATATTCGGACAGAACTATCAGCGACCAACACGTCCCTTATAACGGAGATATCTCTTATCTTCACCCGAGTAGTGCTAGGAGACTCGGGGACGTATCAAGCTGAGGTAGTGTTCCCTGAGAGGACCTCAAAACACAACTTTAATGTGAACGTTAACAAGTTGCCTGCTCCCTTCAGAGTGCTAGAGTCTTATGTCAACTACAATGTTGTTGTTGGGTTAGTACGATAAATTAGGAGCATGTATAACACGTGAAAGGCTTAGTTGAGGTTCACAAACTTCAGATTGTGCATTGGTGACTTAAACTAGTTTTATGCATGCAACTGTCATCTTGTTGTGCATTGTAACCGTATATTGTGCATTGTAACCGTATATTGTACATCGTAACCCTATATTTTGCTGTCAAGTCGGCGGAGAATACAACTGCAGCACTCTTGAGAATGAGAGATCGGGGCGCTTATATTTGTATTCACGACGTTGTAAATATAAAATAAAACGTCGAGATAAGAATGTATTTTTGCAAACCCCCTGCACGTCTTGACGCATATTTCACGTCCCTAACGTTTCACATTCCTAGGTTCACTGGGATGCCGCCTAATTACAAGTCAGTCACGTGGCACTACAAGAAAAACAGTGACCGAGGAATCTTTGTCCAACTCTCTGAATCCAATTCAAAGCTCGTGGTAAATAGCGTTTTCTTTACTTTGCTGAATGAGTTTATACTCCAAGTTTATCCTCATTTCATTTCCAATTTTACACTTTGTAGGAACTGATATTAACCGAGTTTCTGATTCAGGATGTTACTGTAGATAGTAATGAAAATGTTTTAACGCCTCAGAACTGTGTATTACTACAGCTCAACCTGCTCAGTCTGACTAATTGGGAATTTAAACTCTTGAGTTTATACTCCTTTGATTCCGAGGTTTAACCATAGAAATAAACATTTGAATCATTAATTAACCTTCAGTTGAAGGAGGACACACTTGAGTTGAACAGCGTTCAACTTAGTGACCAGGGGTACTACATAGCTCAACTTCTCTACCCAGGCAGCATTAGGTATTTCAAATCTTTAAAAGTTCATTTAACTTTAAGTTGTTTTGGAAAGATTCGTCGAAGCTGGAGGCTGAAACAAGGTACATTTTTCAATTTACCTCGAACTTTACCTCATATTATCTTATTATATCACATAAATTTGTCAGGTACTACGTCACATATCTGCAAGTTAACTTCCTACCGGGAGGGGACGCAATAGTTATCGGTTACGAGGGACAGAACCTCACTCTCTCTGTAAACAACAAGGACGATGCCCTCTTTTACACCTGGACCTACTTCAACAGTACCACAGGAACTCAGCTAGTTGATGGACCCAGACTCAAAATCCTGTCCAGATCTCTGTATTTCACCCGGCTTGTAGATGAGGATGATGGTTACTACAGGATCAACATTTACTTTGACGGGGGACGGAGGGACGAGAGTTTCATCTTCCAGCTGATAGTTCTAGGAGCTGGGGATGTAAACCAGCAGTGCCCTTCTACCATGAGGTTCTACGAGAAAGACTGTGCCCCGTGCCAGGAAACTTGCTCTAACGACAAATGTCTATTTGAGTGTAGGTCAGGGGTGTGCGCGTGTCCCGCCAACACTCCCGTCTACTACCAAGGCAAGTGTATCTCCCGAGACAAGTGTCCCAAGAACCCCGACTACCCGTGTACTCAGTTCGGAGTAGAGGGGTATGTGTACTATGGTAGTAATGAGTGTGCACCGTGCCCTTCTAGCTGTGATAACAGTGACGTCACCAGCTCCACCAGTGACGTCACCAGCACCACGTGCACGTGCATGAGGAACACGTGTGCTTGTCCTGCTGATAAACCTATAGAGTACAAAGGGCGGTGTATCAGCAAGGACGACTGTCCTAGCCAGCAGTGTGGAGGTGAGTCCAACATGGTGTTGTACGAGAGCGAGTGCGCTGTGTGCAACAAGACATGCTCCCAGGTGGACACCTCCTGTTCTGCATCCTGTTTAACTGATGTCTGTGGGTGTCCGTCTCACAAACCCTATCTTAACCCTGATGGTTGGTGTGTGAGCTATGACTACTGTGTGGACTCTAAACCTACAGTTTGTCCTAATAACCAGGTGTTTTACGAGCAGTGTGCTCCAGCTCAGAGGAGATGTGGTGAGGATGTCTCCGTGCTTGACATGATCTCTGTGGGGTGTAAGAACAAGGTTTGTGCTTGTCCTGAGAACAAGCCGTACTTTATAGAGGGGGTTTGTAGGTCGTTCTGTCTTGGTATCTCCGGACCTGTTGGTGGTGGTAAAGAGGTGATGGTGGTGAAGATTGTTTACCAGGTTGTTGGTGAAGCCCTCACGTTGATTCTCCCTGATAAAAACTCAATCAGAAGAACAAGGTGGTTTCTTGATCAGACTAAACTGAGTTCAAACACCAAGTATATTGTTACTGATTCCTTCCTGACTATCAAGGTTCTAGGTGAGGGTGATAGAGGCACATACTTTGCTAATGTCACCACTAACACTAAGGATGATTTCTCGTATGTCTTCCGAGTGTTTCCTCTTCAAAAGACAGACTACTACGTTTGGTTTCAGCAAAACCCCCTTACAATCTCCACGAGATTAGATCTAAATCAACCTTTAGTCTGGCTTAAAAATGTCAACAGTACTTTAGTCAATGTAGAGGATAAGCTCATGTACCTTCAAAAGAATTTTGGAGATCTTACATTCGTGAACCTACAGCTTACTGACACAGGACACTATCATGCAATGTACTTTGACCCAGACACAAACAAAATAACTGTCAAAGTGTTCAATGTTGTAGTAATAAAGCAGCCGAAATTACAAACTAAAACTTGTAAGGTAAGGGAAGATTGTACAATCTCAGTTGATCTGTATCCTGGTTGGAAGCAGGTTGACTGGTACACTGTGTTTCACGGGGTTAAGAGTTTTTAACCATTGACAACTCAAAGTACAGTCTAACAAATGGACAGCTGACAATCTCGGAGGTTCTAAAAGGAGATGATCGGATCTACTACGGACAAGTTACCTACCACTCCAGTGACAGTTACCTGATAACTTACCCTTGGAATGTGGATGTTATCCCAACTAAACCAAACCTGGGTCTACCACTTTGTAATGGAAAGTCTATCTGTGAGGTGGAAGAAGGTTCCAACATCGAGCTTAACATACCCAACACGATAGGCACTGGAGACGTTATAAAATGGTACTACACCATCAGCGGTGTGAGGTATCCAATAACGTATGTCAATGGAAGATTCTATATAAAGCAGGGTGGAATGTTTGTTGAGATCAGTAATCTCAAACAGTCTGATAGCGGGCAATACTACGCAGTGGTGACCTTCTCGAATGGAACTGATGTTACCATTAACTACGAGATAACAGTCACTAACAAGGTGACAGGAACTACATTTGTTGAAGTAGGGTTTGATCCCTGCTGGGAGAACTCAGGGGATGACTGCATGAAAGAAGCCCAGTGTGGCTGGTGTGCTGATGGTAGTTGGGGTGACTACAGGTGCATGACTAGTAATAGCAAGCGTATTGAAGCTTGCAAGGAGGTGATAAACCCTACACCCACTGTACAGACTACAGGTGGGACGAATCTAGGAGACAGCGACACTACAGTTCAGTTGTCTCCTAACCAGTTGTCTCCTGCCCAGGTGCTCGTCAAGATGAGACCAGGACAGTGTGCGGAGGTTGAGACTTTTGCTCGCTCTTCTAACAATCACCCGTTAGATGTTGTTATTTTACAGCACCAGGTACCCTCGGTAAACAGAGGCTTGTTTAATTTTATGGTAAAAGATCTGGTTTTAACCTTGTCATCACTTGCTAACACTACCTACTTTGGATACGGGACTTTCTCTGACAGAAACACAATCCCGTACGCTACAGAGCATAAGAATTACTCCGACAATCCTTGCATGGCTGATGGTACATGCAGTGAAGCCCACGCTTTCAGAGCCCTCAACTACCTGGAAAACAACGACAAGATTTACAAACTAATCCTGGAGACCATGTACACCAACGACACTACCTCTCAAGGAAACGCCGCTTTTGATGCACTTTACCAGAGTTTGATATGTAACCAGATGGGTTGGAGAGATTCCAGCAACAAGATGGTCATAGTTGCACTCTACAATAATCCTCACATAGCAGGAGATGGAAAACTGGGTGGGTTCGTCCAGCCGTTTGATGAAGTTTGCCGGACTGGCAGCACTAGAAAGTATGGGTTTACAACCGATTACCCCTCTATAGTACAGGTGGCAAACATGCTGCTCAGGAACAACACCATCCCTGTGTTTGTAGTGTCAAGTTCTGTGGATAAGAGGATGCTGAGGGATATGATACCCAACTCAAAGGTTAGTATTTACTTTGAAAAGAATTAAAACGTATACTGCAAAATAATTAACAACATAGTACTGTGTCCTTGTTTTTTTTGTTTTTTTGTTCAAAACTCATATCTACTATTCACCGTTTCTGTAATGTTTACCCTATCATGTACAACTCACCCTGTACCTAATCTTTTGTAAGAAGTTTAGAATATACTGATAACACTAATAACTATATCAGGTTTTCGACCTATCAGCCGCTACTAGACTAGATGAAGAGATCAGCAGCTACTACAACTCATTAGTGTCCAACCCTTCTGTTACCCTGGTGGACATTCCTCCTGGAGTCAATGTTTCCTATATATGCCATCTCACAGGTAGACTATGTCTCCTATATATGCCATCTCACAGGTAGACTATGTCTCCTATATATGCCATCTCACAGGTAGACTATGTCTCCTATATATGCCATCTCACAGGTAGACTATGTCTCCTATATATGCCATCTCACAGGTAGACTATGTCTCCTATATATGCCATCTCACAGGTAGACTATGTCTCCTATATATGCCATCTCACAGGTAGACTATGTCTCCTATATATGCCATCTCACAGGTAGACTTTCGTCTGGAAAGTTTGTAAAAAATATAATTCGGAAAATATAATGCGCTGTAATCTTTACTTACTTTACTTTATCGATGTTTTCACCTTACATTTTAAAACATTTTCAACATCAGGAGATGCCACTAGAAGTTGTGATAATGTAGATAAAGAAAGTGACATCACTTTCAAGATGAAAGTTTGTGTCAGCCACTGTTTGGAAACTAAAGAGGAAACTCTTCTTAACTTCCCTGCTTACGGTCAACTCAAACTAGAGGTACATTTCATTCACAGATTAGTAGAGTAGGGTACTGTGGAGTGTGGAGTAGGGTATAGCAACAAAAGATTACTCGGCCAATTATAACCAGGTCAATCTCCGCCGTGTGGTGCTAAATACTTAAATAACACCCGTTTATCAATTTCAAAAACGATTATCGGTTTTCAAAATCGATTATAATTTTTTAAACGTTTATGATCGGATTTTAATAACGTTGATAGGCTTTAAAAAACGATTGTCGGTTTTCATATACGAATGTCGTTTTCAAAAAAACGATGATCTGTTTAAAAAAAACTTAAACTAACTATTGTACAGGTTGAAACAGTGTGCACTCTGAACCTGCCCACTGAGCCTGTCAGCGTGAAGTGTAACAAACAGGGCAGCTACCAAGGTAGGATAGAATCTAGTGGCAACCAAGGTAAGACAGAATTTAGTGGTTGGTGAGATTTCAATGTTTTATAACGGCAAGAAAATACAACATTATGAGATTATGAAGTTATGAAAACTATTAAAACGTTGATAGACGCATACAGCAGGCTGCAGGGTGTCAGAATTAGTGGCGTGTTTGAAATTTTATGTACTATATAATATATTTTATGTAACTAATTTAACGGAATAGTGACTAAGTGAGAACCTCATAGATATGATAACTCCTTATTTATACTCATAACCTGTTTACAATTACACAGGTGGTTCCTGCTCCTGCAAGTCAGGCTGGGTGGGAGCTAAATGTGACTGTAAAGTTGGGGATCTTGGTAATGTGACTCAGTGTGTTAACCCTAGGGTTAGGTCCAGGAATAGGGTGCCCATGTGCTCTAGTAGGGGCACTTGTCAGTGTGGTCGGTGTAAATGTGAAGATCTCGTAAGTTTTTTAAAGATATGACTGCACTCTGCGGTGAAGCTCTTTCAAGGCTCCTGATATTTCGTGATTTTATAACACATTACGAATTACCGGTTCGATCTCCCGTTCTAACATGCTATATTCAGCGACCCCACTTGTTCTCAATTGTTACTGAAACATTACTCAGACTGACTAAAGTTACTGTTTCAGACGTACGGTGACTATTGTGAGTGTGACCATGGGAACTGTCCTAAAGGTCGAGTGGAGGGTAAAAACACCATAGCTATCTGCTCCGGTAGAGGTTTGTAACACAGCTATCTGTTCTAATCGAAGTCTTTGTCTTAATTATTCGAGACAAATAGTACTGAAAATACAAATCAAATTATACACGCAAAATTGTGGCGACAAAAAATGGTCAGGCTGAGAGAGCCTTAAAGAAGAACCCTGGACTGAGTACTCTTACTCCAGCCCCTATAATTATGTGGTGTCACTTTAACAATACTATCGTATTATGCTGTTATTTAATATTATAATTATTACAACTATGATGATTATGATTATTATAATTACGAGACATATATTACCACAGGAACCTGTATGTGTGAGGAATGCCTGTGTGCTGGTGGGTACTCGGGAGAAGCGTGTCAGTACAGTGAGAAGCAGTGTAGGGACAGTTCCAATGTAAGTATTAGCAGTGTAGGGACAGTTCCAATGTAAGTATTAGCAGTGTAGGGACAGTACCAATGTAAGTATTAGCAGTGTAGGGACAGTACCAATGTAAGTATTAGCAGTGTAGGGACAGTTCCAATGTAAGTATTAGTAGTGTAGGGACAGTTCCAATGTAAGTATTAGCAGTGTAGGGACAGTTCCAATGTAAGTATTAGCAGTGTAGGGACAGTACCAATGTAAGTATTAGCAGTGTAGGGACAGTACCAATGTAAGTATTAGCAGTGTAGGGACAGTTCCAATGTAAGTATTAGTAGTGTAGGGACAGTACCAATGTAAGTATTAGAAGTGTAGGGACAGTACCAATGTAAGTATTAGCAGTGTAGGGACAGTACCAATGTAAGTATTAGCAGTGTAGGGACAGTACCAATGTAAGTATTAGTAGTGTAGGGACAGTACCAATGTAAGTATTAGCAGTGTAGGGACAGTACCAATGTAAGTATTAGCAGTGTAGGGACAGTACTAATGTAAGTATTAGTAGTGTAGGGACAGTTCCAATGTAAGTATTAGTAGTGTAGGGACAGTACCAATGTAAGTATTAGCAGTGTAGGGACAGTTCCAATGTAAGTATTAGTAGTGTAGGGACAGTACCAATGTAAGTATTAGAAGTGTAGGGAAAGTACCAATGTAAGTATTAGCAGTGTAGGGACAGTACCAATGTAAGTATTAGCAGTGTAGGGACAGTTCCAATGTAAGTATTAGTAGTGTAGGGACAGTACCAATGTAAGTATTAGCAGTGTAGGGACAGTACCAATGTAAGTATTAGCAGTGTAGGGACAGTACTAATGTAAGTATTAGTAGTGTAGGGACAGTACCAATGTAAGTATTAGCAGTGTAGGGACAGTACCAATGTAAGTATTAGCAGTGTAGGGACAGTACTAATGTAAGTATTAGCAGTGTAGGGACAGTACTAATGTAAGTATTAGTCTCACTACAAACTTACAAACCGGTTATCTCAACAGATTTCTACAGGTTTAACAGACAACAACACCCCTAGCTCCCAACTTCCAACGTCCCACTATATGATTAAATTCTAACTAAGCTCAAGATGTTTTACACAGTACCTATCAGCTGTTAACGGTACCTCTTTGCCAGGTGATATGTGGACGGCACGGTGAATGCCAGAACGGGAGATGTGTATGTGACGGTGGGTACAAAGGAAAACACTGTCAAACCTGCACTGTGAGTACAACTTACTGTGTACTTCGTGCATCGTTTGCTTTTTTGAGTGAGAATCCAAAGAATTTGGAACGGTTCAAAAATTTACTTTTCATTAATTTCCAGCATTTTAATAAATTGTCTCAAAATGTTTTTATGATCGGTTTTTATCAACAGGTCTGTACTTCCTGTGAAGACTTCGAGACATGTGCTACCTGTATCTTTGATAAGGGGTTCAACAAATGTACCTCACAGTGTCTCGGCACTACTGTTATCAACAAACCCTCGTTAGACCAGATCCCAGCCGGTATGTTACCTATTTGTCTTTCAATTTTATAATTAGGGGCCGTTAGTAACCGTTACCGGGGAATTAACTGTATGACATGTTGGATAATGACATGTCGAGCAAATAACCAGTACCCTTATGAACTAACTGTTTTAGGTACACGAGAGTGCACGGTGGTAGTGGACGATTGTCAGTATTATTTCTACCACAAGAGCAGTAGTTTCTTTTATCTGGACACTGCTTCTGAAGGTAGAATTATTCTTTTCGGATCAACCGTTATTATGATTTTGTGGTTATTTTTAAAGATTTTGTACACCAATTGCGTGCTACTTATTCCTCATGCTGGCTGTCCCCTCGCTGTGCCATTAACTCCAAAATAAAATCGCTATTTCCAAATATAATAGTTATTCGTTTGACAATATATCAGTTAGTAAAGTAGTAAGAGGCATTATCATCTGTAAATTGTATCACTTTTGTGACGCTGTACATCCCGCAGAATGTGTTGAAGTGGGTGCAGCTGGTGGAGGAGTTGCAGCTCCGGGAGGGACAGGAGGGACAGTAGCGGGTGTTGGAGAGGATGACGGTAATATGGCTCTCTTGCTAGCTGTTGGCATCATACTGGGGATACTCTTCTTGGGGATACTCCTTCTCATCTGCTGCAAAGCATGTTGTGTATGTACTTATAGTATGTACTTATAGTATGTACTTATAGTATGTTACTTAAGTAGTTTCTCCTATTCCGCTGCTTTGACATCACAAGTATTTTGATGGCCGGATTTTTCGAACCTGATTACTCTTCACTGAAATGCCTGTGACCACAGTACTGAAGGTTATTGTAATTTACGACTTCATACCTTTTTCGAGATCAACTCAGAAATGATACCAGTTAAAAAGTTTCACCTGTGTCTTATCTATCTCAATTCTCAGTGTACTCCTGGTTCCTGCTTACTAACTGCCTTTCCCTGTTTGGCTGACTTGATACGGAGATGTGGAGGTGCCTGTTCGTCCTTCTGTTCCTGCTGTAAACAGGATCAGGACAAGTACGAGGCACTTACCAGTGGAACAGGCATTCCAGATGTGGTAAAGTTATCCTCATTTGCTTATTACTTTATTAGGTACTTTGGTTCATGGTGCCTGGTTCAAATTTACTTTTCGTTTCCTAAATTCTCTACAGACCACAATAAGATCCCTATCAATATGAAGTCTGTAACTTCAATACCCAGGTGGATAATCCAATTTATGAACCTAAAAATAAAGAACTGACGCCTGATGGAGAAGACCCTGCAGCTGGTCCAGTCGAAATTGACGGACCAGCATCTAATACCTACGTAAACTCTTGTTTATTTCTAGTTTATCTCATAGATTTTTTAATCTCGTGATTGCGTCAAATCCTCAGGACAATATCGGCCACGAGTTTTGGTTGACGCTGATTCCCGAATATTTTTCAGGAGGCCCCTTTGGAAAACGATAGGGAAGATGAGGCCCCTTTGGAAAACGATAGGGACGATGAGGCCCCTTTGGAAAACGATAGGGACGATGAGGCCCCTTTAGAAATCAATAGGGACGATGAGGCCCCTCTGGACATGGGAAGGGATGATGACGGTTCACTGGAGAGTGAAAAACCTGCTGATCCGAATAGAGGAGCAATGGCTCCTTTAGGACCCGGCTCTGATGTAAACCCTCACAGTCTAGCAGATATTGACAGCATTCAGGTTTGTAGTCAGAAGTATGAATGGGCTATACCGGTAATTTTTCATGTTCAAATACTACATTGTACCCTACCCTGTTTTTATATGTGGGAAACTTAACGCTAATCTGTCCTCACAGCACGACAGCACGCCTAACGGAGGTGACGCGATGTCTAACATAGCAGGTGTTTCTCATATGTCATGTGGTGTTATCACTGCTCCTCAGAGACACCCACCAGAGGTAACTGAGTCTGTGGAGCATATTCCTGGTTCTGATGGGTCTGCAGCTAAGGACATTCCAGTGAAGAAGGGGGGCGGAGGTAAGGACATTCCAGTGAAGAAGGGAGGCGGAGGTAAGGATTTGCCTAACAAGAAGGGAGGTCCTGGACAGAATTCTTTAAAACGTGAGCGAAGTTTTTTGCAATTTTAGATCAGTCTGTTTCTGTAACCTGGCAGTGTTGTAGTATAGTACTAGCAGCGGTGCCGTGTTTAAGTTGAAACGTTCACTCAAATTATTATTTATACTCGGAAGACGCAGCGCTAAATCAGGTAAACAAATGTTTTATCGCATGATACAAAAAAATTAAATATTGCGTCAACTAAAGTGACACTTCACTCCATATTAACAGCTAGAGACTGGGGAGGGGCTGATGGAGGAGCGTCTCAATTAAGCTACGATCCGGACGAGGATAACTTTGATGTGGACTTCGACCAAGAGAGTATGACAGATACTGCTCCTTCTAAGCAGTTCAGCTGGATGAAGACACTCACTCCGATAAATTCCCTGTCTGATATAGATTCTAATGCGCACCACGATCACAAGGTTATACTTTTTTATTTTGATGATTTTCCGTTTATCAAAGCTTTATTTGGGATTAGAACTTTCAGAACCACAATCGTGTCTTGTGCCGTCCTCAGTGACTTTGCTAGACTTTTTACTGTTATAAAAGTGGAAAACACAAATATGTACATCTGTTGTAACGTATGGTTAATTTGTAACTTCCTGCTCCTTGGCATTTTAAATTGAATACTTCGCGTTATGATTTTATATTGCTACTTAGGTTCTTATCCATGATTCACAGAAACATTGAAATTATTCACAGATAAAGTCGTTCGAATCGCTGACAGACACCACAAGTGATACATTCAAGACTAAGAAAAAGAGACGAGAGTCAAGAATGGTTACAATCCCTAAATCTGTTATAGTTGGTAAGACATTCTTCTGAATGAGTTCGTTTGTATTTGTATTTGTACACATTATTTGTTATTCATTATTATGTGAAGCAGCTACTTCAGTTAATGTTAAATAAGAATGATGAAATAGTATTTTTAACTGATGAATACTGTTTTCAACTAATCAATACTAAGAAGCAGTGATGATTGCCGAAATTGAACGAAGAATAATGAAGCCCAACTTGCACAGGCTTGGGAAAGATCCCAGACGCTAAAGCAGGGATAGAATACGATCCTACCGTCCTGAGAACACGGCGGTTATCTAGCACTACCCACGAGATAAATGTAAGTTATTATTCTAAGTATTATTATTCTAAGTATTATTATTCTAAGTATTATTATTCTAAGTATTATTATTCTAAGTATTATTATTCTAAGTATTATTATTCTAAGTATTATTATTCTAAGTATTATTATTCTAAGTATTATTATTCTAAGTATTATTATTCTAAGTATTATTATTCTAAGTATTATTATTCTAAGTATTATTCTAAGTATTCAACTATTGTTAATGAAATCAAACGACGTTGCAATTCAACAAGAGAAATAAGTCTGATCAGATGTTTTCATGGTCTCGAGAAACCGATTAATCTTGAGATGTTGAAGCAACTGTAACATGTTCATAATATCACACGATAAGTTCATAATCATGACAAAGGGACGGAACAACTTAGATCATTGGATTCCATCAATAAATAGCGACGTTTTTTGTAAGAATCAATCGCTAATGGTTTCATAGAACTATAGAAATTATAGCGCTGCTCAGGCAAACGGTGATTGCTTTCTGGTTGCTTTCTCATTTTCATGACAAATCTTGCCATGATCATTCAGTCCGAACAATGTAGATTTTCCTGGCTTTCTCACAGGTCAATGTGAGGAACATTCCTTACCCAGACATCGTCATTGACGATGTGGACCATGATTTGGATAATATTTACAAGGATATTGACTCTATGAGAAATCGCGGAACCACTACAAAAACAGTATTTATTTTCATTTAAATTCCTTTATTTTGTTAGGGAGTTCTTTTAATTGTGAAACATGAAAACTGAGCAAATTGTGTGTTGCAATCATATTTTTGTAAGATTAATTAAGTAATTAATTAAATGTGAACATTTTGCATATCGTGTTGAATAACTGAGTAAATGTCGCCCTATCATTCAGATTGAGAAGCACATCAACTTTGTAACGAATACAACGAATATAGAGACTGATGTTGAGAAGGCGCTGAAGGACGAACAGAAGAAGTTGAAACAGTTGCAAAAGGAAATAGAGAAAGAGAGGAAGGGATTAGAGAAAGAAAAGAAGAGACAGAACGCAAGAGATCAAGAAAACGATGAAGTAAAGTTATGATTCCTTTTTTTTGACAATGAGTTAGTTATATACATTTTGAAAATTCTACCAGAATCATCTGAAAATTAATACTTTTTATAAAGCACTGCTTGTTTTGCAGCAAGATCGGCTCAATGCAATACTGGCTGCAGTGACGGACAACCGAAATGTAAAAAGCATTTCGGTTGTTCAACGAGGTGATATAAGCAGGCTGCCATCTAAGGTAAAAACGCATAATATTTTACGCTCTTTAAATAATGTTTACTCTATCTCTCTATGTTGATTGTTGCGATACCATGTGAAATTTTGATCAAAATTTCCAATTGAAGTTATTGCCCCTACCCCTTACCCATTTTATTTTCCTTTAACATTTCAATCTCCATCTAAGATAAGCGAAGGCAGCGACGAAAGAGACAGTGAGGAATCTAGTGGTACAATCTCAGCTAGAAAGCTCGTAACTATTTTAGGTAATTACAATTTGTTGCTAACATTTTTAATTTCTTAAATCTTCAGAGCTGGCTTGCTCCCAAGTCCAGGGATAAAATATATTCACGAAACAATCTAAGGACAATTTAGAAGCAGAAACCAACAAAATTTCAGCTAAACACAACATAAAGTTGGACGATGACGACAAATTGGAGTTGATGGAAAGTTTTACACTCAAGGGCATGGGTGGGAACAACGATCTTATAGAGGTAGAGTATCAGAACTTTACAATGCTTAAATATCAATATAGTGAGATACTATTCCCACTACAAGTACAACTATATAATAATACGATATTTGATGCTATAGATCCTGCCATATTGTTTTGTTTACCGGTCAATTATCCATTATCTAACTGAAACAATTGCGCTATTCTATTATGCACCTACGTTCTTCGAAAGGGATCTATTTGTATATCTAAAGAGATAGGCGAAAATGGAGAGTTTGAACAAGAAGAATCTGTCTACAATTCTTGGCATATGACTCCTATAGAATGTGTATTTTTTATTAAATACTTTTCAAATTTTACAGAGTACAGCAATAGATGAATATAAAATAGAATCGTTCAAAATATCGCACCCATCTGTAAAATATGATGGGCACCCAAACACGGTAAACACATAGTGAACTATGTCCGCAGTAACTTGGAGCCATTACTTTCAGGAAATGGTAACCGCCAAAGCTGCACAACTTAAGAGAGTTGAGGGATATTACTCCTTTAGAATGTGTATTACTTTCAGGAAATGGTAACCGCCAAAGCTGCACAACTTAAGAGAGTTGAGGGAGGCGACGAAGGAGCTATAATGGATCTCATCAGGAGCAAAGTGCTCACCTCTGGCGTGGCTTTACCTGATGACATCGAAGGAAAAGTCCTGATGGGATTACAGAAGCAGATAACTATTGGACAAGCTGGGATAAGTGCTGCCTCCAGAGGCAGATTTGTTTCAGAAATGCTGGAGAAACTAAGAGATGAAATCGCGGGTGGAGGTGGCCTGGTTCTCTCAGCTGAGCAGATATCTTCAATGATAGCTAGGGTATCTGGGAAACTGTCTGTCAAACTGTCTATGCAGCAAAACTTGTCACTTTTTGAGGCTATAAAATTCAAGGTGGCAGAGAGAGGATTGTCAATGGGAATGTTAGAACAGTGGGTTACGAAGATTCTTCTAAAATTCAAAGTTTCCAACAGGATTGATTTCGGTTCGGAGGTAGCATCTCTTCGTGCAGCTTTAGAAATAAAGATCGGTGCAAGTCTGGGAATATCTTTTGATGATGATGAGTCTGGAAGAGTATCTTTGGAGCAAATTCAAGCTATCTTGGGTAAAGCTTGATAATTAAAAAATGTTCATATTTATTAATTGTCTGTATCTAGTCGTAGAAGCCCTATTATAGCTATTCATCATTATGACGAAAATCACCGGGTATCTAGATGTGGATTCAGATGGAAAGGTGAAGCATATCTTTTGACACGTGACATCAATTAACCAATTAGAATCCGTTATTGACCAATCAATCCCCAGAAAATCACTATCACGAATTTTTTTTAATGCTTCGCCTCCCCACTAAGAATCCACATTTCTAGTCCTGATAAACTTCTCGCCCCTGTAAACTTCTCACCTCAGGAAAGCGAAGAATTTCCCTGTCCTCTGAGGATATGGTGGAGTTGATGGCAAGTGTAACAATACGAGGGATGACTGGAGATACTGAGCTAGTTGAGGTTTCTGTTTGTTAATTTAATAACCCTGCTTATCATTCCTTGTGTAATTATCAATCCTTATGTTAATGACTCGAACAACATAGAACACTATATCTTTCAGCAAATGATCGTATCAAAAGCATTGCAACTAAGGGCCGTAAAAGGTGGCGATGATGAAGCAATAGGAGAGCTCATTCGCAGCAAACTGGTAGGGAGTGGTTTTGCTTTGCCTGGGGACATGGAAGGGGAATTTATCGCAGGCTTGAAGCAAAAGATGACCAGTCAGCAAGTTGGAGGAAGTGCTGCTTCAAGGAGTAAATTTGTTGCTGAAATGCTTGCTAAGTTAAAGGGTGAGTTTTCTGTTCCTTATCATAGATCTTGCTGGAGGTGATGAATGAAGTTCACTCAGATTTACAGTCTCCCAATTATTCAACTAGCATCACTGTTTCAGACGATCTCTAACTATTATCACTCCTAGGTGACATTTCAAGTGGTGGAGGTATAGTGATGACGGAAGAACAGATGTTGTCCATGATAACCCGGGTGTCAAGCAAATATTCCGTAAAACTCTCCGCACAACAGTTCCAGTCACTGATAGAGGGGATCAAAGTAAAAGCTGCCCAACAAGGTATACATTTCAATTCAGTTTTCCTATCGGCCAAACGGTTTCGGCTGAACATTTTTCCTCTTCAAACATCGCACAAATCGGATGAGAATCGCCATTATTGAACCAAATGAGCTATTAATTAACTAACCGACTTTAAACTATTTCTTAGTGAAAAGCGACCATTAGCCGGCTTTCAACCATTCCTGAATCCTGGTAGTGTCAGTAATGCAACTAAATCCATGTCAGTCTTTCCTGTTTGTAATGGCTAAGCAATAATAAATAAAATGCAGGTTCAAGTGAAGGAATGCTGGAGCAATGGGTTACTAAGATACTTCTAAAGTTTAAGGTATCAAATAAGATCGACATTGAATCAGAGATCTCATCTCTACGCGGATCTCTTCAGCAGAAAATAGGAACCAGTTTGGGTTTGTCAGGATTTTCTTCTGCTGGCCTGACCGCTGCTGGTGGATCTACAACTATGAGAAGAGCTTCGGTAGTATCATCCACAGCTTCTATCCAGAGATATTAGAAGACACCTGGTATTGGATCAGATGACAGCCGATGCTCTCTTATGACAACATACAATTTCTCTTCATAATCATTATCAGCTTTGCCATGATAAGAAACTGTGTATATCTGTACTTGATTATATCTGTGCCTCGAGGGTACCACGAGAGTGCCATCGGGATCCGGATGTATGACCCTTGATTAAACTGAAGTAATATCTAAAACTTAGATCCGATTAACTATTTTTACTCATTCCTATCACCATTATCTTGAGATGTGACTGAACACCAAAAAACCTGCTGAAATAATTAACTTTCGTTAGTCATAATTCTTTTATGATTTTTCAATAAATGCAAATGATGAATAATTATTATAGATATCATTAATCATTGATATGTTTTTTCATATCCAATGTCATGTAATTGTACCGTAGATTGGGGTAAAATCGCCGTGTCGGGGAACTTCGCCACTATTTTTCAAATAATCATTTTACTGTTTTGAATTGTTAGGAGATCAAGTTTTTGTATAGTATTGTGTTGAACAAATGGTTATAAAGGTATTCCTATTCAAAAATAAACGTTTACTATCTTACTATGTTAATTAAACTCAGGCAACATGAAATAATGCAATAAAGTGGCTAAAATTTCCTGCTTGCATATTTCCCATATTTTACAATTATATCCTTAATAAATTCTGTGTGACATCATTAGCATATGTCCTGTTCATTTAAGGGCGAATTTAGTTAGCCATGATGCACACAACTGATATTATAAAGTTTTCAAATTTGTGTGTGGCGAAGTTACCCTCTTCTGATCCCATCTGTTCGGCGAAGTTTGGCGCGAAATTCGCGCGCGGCTGGCAAAGTCACGCACGTGTATTGGCGAAGTTCGACTACATTTCTACTTCATCCCGGCGATGTTACCCGCAGCATGGCGATGTTACCCCAGCGACCAAATTGCCCATTGTAACACGCAGGCTAGAGCTAGATAAGTAAAATTGGCAGGTATATCAAGGAAATATAATTGAGTTTCGAGTGGTATGGTGCTTAGCACCGAATATGGTATAGTTTCAGAATGGCGAAGTTATCCCATATTGCAGGGTAACTTCGCCCTGATTTCAGTGGCACCAATCTAGCTGACTATTTATGCCTGGCTGATGTGGTTCATACGAAAACATTTGCTTTACCAATCCTGTTCATATGAGCTATAAACTTTTTCAAGTACTCGTGTCGTATTTTCTAAATAACATGAAATAGCTGTAAAACATGGCGAAGTTCCCCCATTCTACGGTATTTCATTGTATTGAGCCAGAGCAGTTCCATTCCTCCTCAAATAGTCAGATGTACAATAATAATTATACAATTTAGGAATTTTTAAGGCGTACTCAAGAAATGAAGTTTTCGGAACCAATATTTTTGTTAGCCATCCACTATAACAAATTTAGGTAAAAACAGAAATTTCGTCTTCAAAAACAGGAAATGGGACAAGAAATGAGAGAATATGATTTTTCCATTTTTTAGGAGATCCAGTACCTCAATTTTGTCCCATATCATCCTCGATTAGCTAACTAATTAGTCGGTGGGCAAAACGTCCATCAAATTGGTCTAATTTTCGTTCAGAATTTTTCATATTTGAAAATGGGACAATATGATTTTTCCATTTTTTCGGGGATTTTTTTTCCAGTACCTCAATTTGGTCTCATACCATCCTCAATTAGCTCACTAATTGGTCGGTGGGCAAAACGTCCATCAAATCAGTCAAATTTTTGTTCAGGCATTTTCATATTTGAAAATGGGACAGAATTTTGAAAATGTAAATTTTCGTTTTGTAAAGCTTTCTGTAGTAAGCACAAAGCTTCCTCCGACCGGAATCAAACTTCTAGCACCTAAATTGTGTCATATGGCATCCATAATTGACTGAATAATTGGTTTCTGGAGAAGAATTCGGTCAAAACTGTGAAATTTCGGTCCTGGAGTTTCGTCTTCAAAAACTAGAAATGGTAGAATATGATTTTTCCATTTTTTCGGGGATTTTGACTTCCAGTACCTCAATTTTGCCTTTTAGCGCCTCATACTCTTGTACCATATAAGTATAAAGACTTGATGAATTGCGCAAGTTTCTGAATCCTTCTAAATAATAACTCTCCAATAAGGTTAGCAAAATGTAAACATATTCAATCTACACACTGCATGAAGAACAAAACTTTTTCACATTTCGACAAATAATGTTTAAAAACGCCTAAGTCTTTTATTCTATTCGGCATTTGTAAACATTTTTTGTCGAAATAAAAATAATAATAATAAAATGTCAAACAATTAACAGAGTGCAGAGTAAAACAATAAAATTGAAAAAAATCCTTAAAATTAGCTCGATCCGAGTTTTTGCACATGCTTAATTATTTATACATGTTGATTTGTTGATGACGTCATCGAACGTCATTACCTACGTCATTGCAGGTGATGATGTCATCGATGCTATGGAGTGTTGTGTGATGGCTATATTTACTCGTCAAGGCAGATGGTACGGATAATTCTATCGGTAACGACGTACGGGTCAGCGTTGCTGCTGGGTCTTCGGTCCTAGGTGGAAATAAAATACCAATTAGTTAATAATTAGTAAATTGATTGTTTATTTGATTTAGCAAAACCACTGCTTACTATGCTTGTTGCAACTCGCATCGTATACACTTACAGTGAACAATTTTTCGTTTTGCTTCGCTTATCTACGAGACGAGTACGAATTCGACATACACATTACACATCATATCCAGACGAATTGATATAATTATGATATATGTAAATGTAATACTAATAGCACCTTATATTATATCATTTGCAAGTAAAATTGCAAGCCCTGTCTTTTGTTAAAACATGATAATATCTGCTACTATTTAGGGTCCCTAGGGTTAGCTGACTCCGGGCCAAGGGAAAATTACCGACTGCCAAGGTTTGATGTCTAGGCAGTCGAGACATCTTGAAGAGACCCGATATGATAATTATTATATTACCTCAAAGTATCCTTTTCCGTCTGCTGCAACCTGTCGAGGAATCCTAATACTTGCAGTGCGGTCGGCCACGCCAAAGTTGAACTTTTCAATGCTGAAATACAAACAATTACTTTAAATTATAAAGTGGGGAGGTTTTAAGTTTAACCATGAATTTAGATTTTGGATTCTTCTTGTTTCCGTGATATGGATAGCATCAGGGCCGCTAGGCCGGCATAATTAACGTTTTATGTGGGCGAGCAAAGCTAAACTAATAGAATCCACCATTGCCTGACTATATTAATATAGACAATATATCCACGAAGTACGAACTATATAAGTTGGATATTTATATCCTCTTTCTTTGCAGTTCATTTCTTCACACTGTCCCTTCATCATTTCTTCTAAAATATCTTTTCACCTCGAGCCCCCCTGATATAATTACTGGATTCGATTTGAATTTGATGAAATTATTCAGATTCTGTGATTATCTTCATCTTATGGGTTGGGAAGGTATTCATCGGTTTCACTATATACTGGAGGGTTAAGAATAAAATAAATGGCGGTCTCACTGGAAGCCGGTTGAGATAAATGGCAGACCGGATATGGTAAAAAACGGGCGAAGGCAACGCCAACAATAAATAATTATAGCCCTCGATTGGACTTCATAGTAAGATAGTACGGGGCACAAGCCTGGCCACCGTTTCCAAAATTAGTTGATTTATTTTCACTTAAGATACAATCTCTAAACGGATCAAGGCCGTAAAAGTGGCGCCCTGCAGGAATATGATTATATTATTTGACCAAAACCCTTACCTCATGGGGACCTCAGGCTATCATGTTCATAAACAAATAGATATTCGGCGGAATGACAGGCTGAGCGCCACCAAGTAACCATTATCCCTATTAGTATTAGTATTGGTAGATTATGATATCAATGAAATAACGTGCGTGGTACGATATCGTGCGATTCGAGAATTGCGAAAAATCAAATTACACACTCCTTTAATGTCTTATATTATTCGTCGCATAAATGAAAATGTAACTATTGTTCATTTTCATTCATCGCTTTCAAATACTAGGCGACCGATCGCTGCGTCAGTATTCAATCAATGCTTCTTTGTCTTCAAAATTTTGATGAAAAGAATGCTCCAAAATAACAAACAATGGAATGGTGGACTATTATATTTAAGGGATGGTTCTTTGAACACAAGTCACCTGCATAGTCTCCGTATCCGTATCGCCCACAATTTGATAATACGGGCAACTCCAACAGCTTATAAAGAGTTTCAGTTATGGTTTTGGGCTCTTACTAATTCGCTCGCCCAAAAATGTCACGTGACTTTGGTTTTTATGGTTTTTCAGCCGTACAAAACGGCTTTACATAAACCCTAATCCCAACACTAACCCTAACCATAACCCCGAAGCTATCCATAACCCTTATTCTTAACACAACTCTAGGCCTAACCCTAACCCGAGCCATAAACGATCGAACTCATGTTTTACTAGCATGTCACGTGACCAAAACGGTTTTTTGCCCATAACTCTCCAGGGAAGTATTTTTACCTTACGTCATGAGGGGTGATTCGAAATCAGCGTCCAAAAATACAATTACCCAGATCAATTTCATCCTCAAGGGGCCTTTTCACAAGAATTTTCTTAAAATTTGGGCGAGCTATGGTTTTGACTAATAATTTTATAAGGCCTTATAAAATTTCGAACTTGATCCATTTTTCGCATTGGAGCTTAAAAGTAAACAAGGGAGAATTTAAAACTATTTCTAGATGTGCCTAATCCAATTACTCCATCAGACAAGATCACATAGAGATGAAGAGAGCTAAAACATTTCTCCTCCTCTGTGTGGTGATGGTAAATGTAGGCATGTCAAAAGAAAAGTCCCGTTCTACAACTACAAGACATGGAGACAATGGAAACAATCCGGGTTACATTCCTAAGGAACTTACAGGAGTAGTCGAGGAAGGAAAATCAGTAAAGTTCGTTTCGGTTTATTTTGATTTGTTACATTTTGATTTGTTATATTACAATGTTCTCCTTCAATATGGACGAGTTTCTCCGTGTCAGTGGGAAGCTACATCAGTTGAAAACATGTACTTTAACTCAAAAGACGCTAGATTTCATCACAAAGGCAAAATGTTTTCTGAAGAACTAAAGTTAAAAGGCCCTGTGTGCCCCATGAACTTCGATTATTTGAACTTTTATTCCAACTTGTTATATCCAAGCCGTAAAACACTGTCAGATTTATCTATTGCAGGGGGTGATATTTATCAGTGTGAGATAAGAAAGAGCGCTAGGTGCGATTCTGATAGTGTGTGTTCGACTGATGAGTGCCATTGTACGAACAAGGGAATAAGCTATCAGGACCAGGTCATGTTCTGTCCACGAAGAGATGGTGGAAAAGCTTGCATTGCCTTTCATGCTGTTTGTGACGGAATAGTTGACTGCGCTGACCATAGTGACGAGTGTCTATGTCAGGATTCTTATGAGTTGTTTTGTGATAGGATACCACAATTAAAGCGACTATGTCTCTCTAAGCTCGATTACTGTAGTCACCTTCCAGAAATAAATGAGCTGAACTGCTCAAATCAGCCCATAAATATAAACTGTACTGAGATCATTTGGAATAGCTTCTACCTGGAATTAGATTATAATCCATTTGTTAAATGTTTAAATATACTATTACTACTATCTAAGTCACAAAATGATTTTGAAAAATGGGTCCTCAAATACGGAGATTCATTAGCAGAAACATGTATAACTCACTGCACTAATACGACTGAACTGGAGAAGTGGAAATTATTTTGTCAGAATATCGACTTTCAGAGAAATGAGCTTGAATACCCCCTGGTCTTCAAGTGCGAAAATGACACAGTAGCTTATTCAAATAATTCTTACCCATTGACATTTTTATGTGATGGTAAAATACACTGCTTAAACAGTGCTGACGAGTTGGATTGTCCAGGACGCTTTTACTGCTCTGTCAATGAAACCGTCACCTGGATAAACGAAAGTCTCGTATGTGACCGAAAGAAAGATTGTAGCAATGGAAAAGATGAGTGCTCAGGCTGCACTGTGGATGGTTCGGAGTCTGTTGAATTCATGGTTGAATCTAAACTCATCGCTGGTTTAGCTTCATTTGGAAGTTTGAGTATCATGATAATTAATATATCTGTTGGTCTTACAAATTTTCACGAGAATCCAACTTCAAAAGCAGCTCAAATAGACAGGATTTTACGGCTTTCAATATGTTTTTATGATTTTCTAATGGGCGTGTACCTTTTCTTCATGATTGTTGCATCAATTGTTCTAAAAGTTAAAGGGGATTACTGTCAATCTGATGAAGACTGGCGTGCAAGTGTAGTCTGTATGATGCTAGGAGTTACATTTTCTGTATCATCTCATGGATCATTGATTGTTATTGGCATTATGAGTATTCTAAGGTGTTTAAAGTGCTCACTGGGGTTCTCCTTTGAACTTTCAACGAAAACAGTCAAGATCGTCAATGTGATTGTTTTTCTTCTCAGCTTTATTCATTCTATTGTACCTATTTTACCGATTTATCAGCTCCAGAACTTTTTCCGGACAAGCATGATCCTAACAGCTGTGGACAAGAATCCCTTCATAACATCAAGAGAAGGCCCTGCTATGATAAAACACGTTCAAAGGATCCACAGCCACTATTTCAACAACAGTTTGAGTTCTTCAACAGATACAATCAGGATCCTAGCTGATCTGAGAAATGCCAATATCACCTCTGATAACACAATATTCGACGTTGCAGACATAGGATACTACGGTAACACCCCACTGTGTATATCCAATGTCTTTAAGGTTCAAGGTAACTATCACGCGTACAAGGTCGTATACTGCGTAGTTGTGGCTTTATTGCTTACAGTCATCACAGCATCCTATACCATCATAGTTGTAAAGGCAAAGAGTTCCCGTCAGCAAGCTGGTCCAGTCAATAATGACAACACTTCTCAGTTAACACTAAAATTGTCACTCATGATAATCTCACAGCTGGTCAGCTGGGTCTCTTTCATAGCCGCTGTCATCATTTTGGCCTATACCGGTGAAAATCCTTCTGCAAAAATGTTTGAGATATTTGCTCTGATCGTGATCCCAATCAACAGTCTTCTAAACCCAATCTCTTACAGTACTATGTATAAACATATTACCACATATTTGTGGACATCCGGAAAGAAATGTTTTGCCACAGTCAAGGAGCGGGTTCAAAATCGTGTTGATAATGAGATTGAACTGCAAGTTTACAACTCGAATGAAAACTTTGGAACACTAGGTACCCCATCTGCAGAAAGTTCAACCAACACCACCGGAGATTGCTGAGCATCCCGACAGTGTTCCTTTAGATGATGAACCCACCTCATTGAAGATTGCTGAGCACTCCCAAACTGTCCTTCCAGATGACGATCTCACCTCACCTGAGATTGCTGAGCACTCCAAAAGTGTTCTCCCATATGATTATGTCAAACCCACCTCACCTGAGATTGCTGAGCACTCCAAAAGTGTTTCTTCGGATGATCAACCCAACTCACCGGAGATTGCTGAGCACTCCAAAAGTGTTCTCCCATATGGTCAACCCAACTCGACACCGAAAATTGCTCAACACTCCAAAAGTGTTTCTTCAGATGATCAACGCACCTCACTGGTTATTGCTGAGTAATTCAACAGTGTTTCTTTATTGACCAGTGCACAGTGGTCACTGGTCAATGACTACCTTATCCGACCTTATTTGGACGGACATTAATTGAACGCTGGAGGCCCTAACGTTCGTAAGCTCGACGTGATGTTAAGGTTAACCTAAATTTGTCTAAGATAAAAACCACTTCACGCTGAATGGCTTGTTAAAGTTAACACTGAAATGCAGGACCGGGGTAGTTTGATAAAAAAATGTTTCCACTTTCCAAAAAGCTATAGAAATCACCGATGCTTTAAGCATGAACTATTTCATGCACGAAAACCCATTTGATGAAGATGATATGTGATATTAGACACTAATCATGTACACATATTTTAACATTTTTACTGCTTAACGACTACTTTTCTTACTTACTTTATAAAAAAATGATTTAAAAATCATTTGCTGAAATTTAAAAAACGTTTGAAAAAATGAAAAAATTCGAATTTTTGATGGTTTTGAATGCACCTTCTAGCGTTCATATTAATGTCCGTTCATAATTATGTCCGTTTATTTAATGTCCGTCCAAATAAGGTCCGTCAAGGTATACTTCAGAGTGTAACCCATATCTACATGAGACATCTCTCTTTCTGTTTGTATTGTACTTGTAGCTATAAAACAGTTATCTAACACCGAAGATTTGTTTTAAGTACAACGTTTCTCCCTGTTCTTGTTCTGGAAAGGTGTTCCGTATTTTTTATTTGACCAAAACCCATAATTGGATAGAGTGAACTGCTGCCAGTGTCTCTCTTTCCCAAACAAAAAGAAATGATATTTATTTGAATGAACGTCCGTAAATGCAAAATGATACCGAGAATGAAATCGGTCGCTCACTTACCTCATTCATTTACAGCTTAGGAATTGTAATAAGTTTCCAATTGTCCGTACGTCTAGTATTAGTAATCAGAGGGGATATATTATAACTTGCATGAGGCCTACCTACATTAGTACATTCTACAAGTTCCTCACATTTTCCCCTACCAGAGAATCATATTCGTAGTGGACAGCACCGACAAAGAAAGTTTTAATCAGGCTCGGAGGGAGTTAGAAAAAATGTTAAACGAAGATAAACTGAGCGACCCTGTTCTTCTCGTGTTCGCCAACAAAGCGGATAAACTCTCAGCTTGTCCCCACGTGTGCAACTCTTCGATTATCAACTTTATAATAGTATAGAATGTATAAAAGGCACGATCATGCTTGCCAGCACTGTGATAATGAGCAAAATTTTTTTGTGGAATGTTGTTGAGATTTGAGAGTAAATAAACGTATACGGGCTTTTTAATGGGCTGATAAGTTGTTTAGAGTCAATGGAAAAACACTAAAAATTCTATGAACATAGTCCACTCCCCCTCTCCTTTAAAAAACAAACTTAGTGCTCCCTCTTTTCCATTTTACAGCACTTCTCATTTCTGCAAATTCTATGGACCTTACCTGGCAGTTTATCCATTTCCATCCTAGCCAGCTCTGTTTCCCCCTACTAACCAGTAACCTGGCTGCCTCTCTACCCCCCCCCCCCCCCCCCCCCCAAACCTAACCTGGCTGTCTCTCCACCCCCCCAACCTAACCTGGCTGTCTCTCCACCCACCCTCCCCCCAACCTAACCTGGCTGTCTCTCCACCCCCCTCCCCCAACCTAACCTGGCTGCCTCTGTACCCCCCTCCCCCCAAACTAAGCTGGCTGCCTCTCCACCCCCCCCTCCCCTCAAACTAACCTGGCTGCTCCACCCACCCCCCCCCCCCCCCCCCCCCCCCAAACTAACCTGGCTGTCTCATGAAGTCCAGTCAACCTCCTTTTGTTGTCCACTCCTCCTGACGGATCGTAGGCGTAAATATGCTCCTCGTGCTTCTTCCCCATCAATTCGATTGCCTCATAGATCTTCTCCAGACCGCCTTCCTCCCTCATCGCTAATGTGCTGTAGGAATGTCAATGAGGAGAATTTTATGTGAGAAATAAGGAGAATTTGATGAAGGGAATTGGTAGATAATTAATTTACAGTTTAAACAACAACACAGTCCTTGGGAAAGATTTGAGAAGTGAACAGTGAAGCAAAAAATCAGATAAGCTTTTCTCGAACCAAATAAAACCAGATCAACCTGACATTCACATGACAACCCGCCCCTTAAAACTAACCTGATGTTCGCATGACATCCCGCGCCGTTCCAATCCCCAGGAATAGGTTTAGGATCAAAGCTGATAACCACATTGAACTCCTCCGCAATCCTTTGAAGAATCCACCTGGAGACCCAAAGGTGGTCGCCCATCTCGATACCTTCACAGGGGCCTACTTGGTACTCCCACTGAGGTGGAATATGGTGAGGTGTCTTTAAAGATCTTTCTTCGATGTCTTGAAAAAGTGTGACCATAGCTCCAGTGAAAACTACATTTTTCAGCGGCAAAATTTCTAGATATAAAGAAAATCAAACTAGATTATTATACCTGAGAAGGCATGGTCTCTGCGTTGGATCCAGCGATCCTGATACCAGCGTACATACAAGCTCTGTAATGAGCCTCCACGATCTTCCTCCCCTTAACTTTTTCAGCTCCAACACTGCAGTGGTAATGGCCCTGAAAGTGAAAGTTTTAAGTTATATAAACGATACAGTGATGGTGGGGCCTATTATTGAATCCGTCAATGATATGGATCATATTCTAAAGAAGTACTAGCAGATTGTTTACCCTATTTCCTATCATAGAAATTGGACCAAGTCTTAGTTCTTACATCAAATCAATTCCACACGGAACACAGCTGTTATGGTACGAAATTTTCGTCCAAAAACACCTAAAAAGGTCGCGCGACCTCGAAATAACTGTAGTCTGTCCCTAACCTGGGGTCCTGGGTAACCGTTGCTTGGCCACCCATACGGATGTCTCCCAGTGAAATCAAACATGGTGTACTCCTGTTCAATTCCGAACCATGGTTTGACCTCCTTGCACCTCTCCATGTTCTCAAAACAGCTGCGTCGCTTGTTGGTTGGATGGACGTTCCCTTCGTGGTCGAGTGTCTCGCACATAACGAGGATGTTATCACCACGTCGGAATGGATCCCTGGTGAGGAATGGTTGGCTAACGGTGTACCCAAACGGCCATTTTGGTACTCGGACTCCAATGAAACGTTCTCAAATGAAGACCCTGTGTGATAAGTGAACTGACCTGAAGCAAGCGACCGGCTTGATGTAAATGTCACTGTTCTCTCCAAGAGACTGCATAGTGCTACTTCCGTCGAAGTTCCATACTGGAAGTGTCTCGGGATCCATCGTGGGCTTCATCAGTGTCTTCGTTTTACCCCTGGGAAATAATTTTTATCAATTGTGATTTTTAGTTAAGGATTTTCCTGAGGCCGAGGGGGTATTATCGGCAGTTCTTAGAATCCAAGCTTTCTGCCTTGCCGTGGGGTGGTCACATGCACCATGTGACGCTCCTGTTAGTCATAGTGTTGTAAAAGCTAAACGAATCTCAACATTATATCGGGGTTTGCGGAAAACCAGGCGCAGTTAATCGGGGTTATTGTGTAAATCTGGGTTATACTGTACATACCTGAGTCCCTCGCCAGTACCGTCAATCCAAATGTAGTAAGCCTGACACTTTCCTCCCTGGTCAAGATCCATGAAAGGGTTGCTAAGCCCATTAAGTCCGTCCATTCTGATTTCTGTCTAGTTGCTTAGTAACTATTTTGTGGTAGATAATATATTAGAAGGAGTTATTTTAGTAATTAATCTTAGCACTGCAACAACTGTAACTGCCGCTTGGAGTCAAATTGAGTAGGTGAAACAAACGTGTCATGGTTAGGTAAAACAAAATCGGAAACAATAGAACTAAGAACAAATAAGCTGGATAAAATCAATTAGTTTGAAAGCAACTATGATTTAATGCTAGGTCGTTTTATCCATTGCGATGAATGATAAAACGAGGTAAATCCCTGATAATATGCGATTAAATATTGAATATATGCATTCTTCAGGGTGGACTGTAATATAGTATTTGTCCGAATTTTATGTTTAGATTTGCACATTTATTTAATTTAGCATTCTCTTACGTACACGTAAAGGATAATGTTGGAGGGAAATACTGCAAGGACAAGATCATAGTTATGGGAGGAAAAGGGAGGAGAAAAACAATAGAGGGTAGGAAGCAGTTTAGGGAATGCAGGATACCATACCCTGATATAATGCTATTACTAGCTCGAGACGGGAGAATGTTGAATATGAAATGCCATATTACGTGACGTGTACAATGTGATTAATGATTATACCGTTCCTGTTTGCTAAACTAAGCTATGTAAACAGTTTAGCGAGGCTTGTTTTGGGGTAACCCATAATCAACAACGGGCAAAGCCTGAAAGTGAAAGCCTGAAAGCCTCCTTCAACTTGTATTGCCAGAACGGTTAAATGACTCCAACTGTTTTGGCCGGCGTTGTCTTTTTGGTGCTGCAAGTAATGTAAAAGTAAAGAAGGTATTTATTATCTTTGTTATGCGAGGATTAGATTTGTTTGTTTACAAGTTTACAAGGGGAAAAGACGCATATAAAATTCCACGTTTAATTTGTTACGCCCATGATTTAAGCTAAAAATCGGTACAGAATACATATTGAGATAATCTTTTTAACTCCAGAGTTTAGAAGTATGGACGCAGACTCTCAAATCTTATCTCATTATTAATAAATGAGTTGCTGTTGTCAGCCATTATATTACTGAGGTACAGATCAACAGATAAAAAGGTGTGTTGTGCCAGGGACCAGATGTACGACTTCCAGTTAGAGGGTGGGCCTTCGTTCAGCAATCCTGTGGGGGTTTCATGTGTTATAATCAGATTTATCTTATTTTGTCGAGACTCTTTAATTTTTATCATTAATCATTATGTAAAAACGCGGTCTTTTTGAGAAAATTGTTTCCTCTCTTGATTGTCGATGCGTTATATAATAGTGAGGTACAATTATCGTAATTCGTATTCTCTAGTGAAATATATTTGAATGTGTACTGCAAAAAAAATTATTATTTTGTAATAAGTGTAATCACTAATCACGGTAATAAATTAGCGTACCAGAAGTAGAGCAATATTAATATTATCGAATTACCAAACCACCAAAGAAATGTGATAATTCTATTACAAGGTAATCAACTTTCCTAAACGTTTCTATCCTCCTGGAAGTTGGAACAGATAATATAAATGTTTTGTTAATATTCAAAAATACGTGAATCACCTTGACTTTGTACTCAGTTGATTTTAAGAAACTAGTCTGAATTCTAGGCTAGTACAACTACAAGTTTTTTAATTTGTTTTCTAATTTGTTTTTGAAACATAATCCACTCGTTGTACATAACAAATATTCGTCGACGTTTCAGCAACACCCATATGGCGCAGTTTATACTTTATATCTCCGCCAAAAGCACACTCCCCAAATTGCGCACATTGCTGTAACTTCTTTCAAACTTCATGAATCGAGGAAAATTATTTTGCAATGTATTCTGAGTCAATATATGCACTTATACAAATCACTTGGAATACTTTTGAAAGAGAATAACAAGCTCAAAAACGCTACTGACGTATTTCTCCATAAAAAGCTCAATAGCGTGAGAAGTTTTTGTCGAGGTGCCTCGAAAGTGATCTTAAACGATTCCCCGTTCAATTTTGGTCGATGAATACCAACTAAGTGCACAACCAAGGAAGTTATAAACATACTTCATACGTATCAAATTGGATGTGCTTTTGGCGGAGATATAATATAACGTGCGCCCACCCATATTTGTCATGAAGTTATTGTAACGTCATAAGTTTCGTGACTCGTGTTATTCGTCTCTCTCTCTCTCTGAAATTAAAGACTGAATGATCTGAAGAGATAACAAAATAGTGGCGCAAGTTTGTTCTTTTTTTTCTTTTTTTTTTGCAAGTTTGTTCTGACACGTGAGCTAGCGAGTTAAAAGTTTAATTGGTCGTTGCTTGATTAGCTACTTGTATAACTTGTCACTTGTATTCTCCAGTTCGTTTTTAGTAAACTATGATGTGGACAGTAAATGGTTCCTTGTTACTGGGCTTGTTAAGCTTGTGTATTGGGAGCGGAGGTTACTTTAACAGGTAATATTGCTACATTAGTGTTAACTGTTAAGGTTTAATTGTTAAATGTTAATAATGTTTTCCAGTTTAGAGGAGGAACTTCAGACGAGGTTCAGAGTTCTGAGCTTTCATTCCTTACCCCACATTCCTTACCCCACATTCCTTACCCCACATTCTTTACCCCACATTCCTTACCCCACATTCCTTACCCCACATTCCTTACCCCACATTCCTAAACCCACATTCCTTGCCCCACATTCCTTACCCCACATTCATTACCCCACATTCCTTACCCCACATTCCTTACCCCACATTTCTTACCCCACATTCCTTACCCCACATTCCTTACCCCACATTCCTTAACCCACATTCCTTACCCCACATTTCTTACCCCACATTTCTTACCCCACATTTCTTACCCCACATTCCTTACCCCACATTTCTTACCCCACATTCCTTACCCCACATTTCTTACCCCACATTCCTTACCCCACATTTCTTACCCCACAACTGACAACTTTTAACTCAATCATTCGTACGAGGTGTTTTCAATGTGATGAGCAACTAGAAAAATACATATTATCACATATTATTTCCTGCCGGTTTAAAAACAACAAACTTGTTCACAACAAACAGATAAATTATTAATTAATTAAATCATTTACATCATAATTAAGTAATTAAATCATTTACATCTATAATTTCAGCCACTACGTGGACTTCTACCGTGGCACAGAGAGGACTACAGTAATCATGTCAGTCCCTCACGACGGCTGGAAGCGACCTAGCGCCCTACCAGATCGCGAGCGGGTAAGTGTGGAATTATACATTATACATTATACATTATAGTTACATACTATGTATAGTCCTGATCAATCGTTTAATGTGAACGAGTCCGGAAATCAGTTTTGTAACAGATTTTATTTATAGCTCATAATAACTTTATACAGCCACAGGGTTGCTATATGACTCATTGTTACTTTCTGTAGGGTTGCTATATGACTCATTGTTACTTTCTGTAGGGTTGCTATATGTCTCATTATTACTTTCTGTAGGGTTGCTATGACCGCCGTTCACGCACCTGTGACTGGAACCACGACTGTACGGGTAGGAAGGATCCTACGAAATGTGAGCCAAAGACCTCTGGAGATCTCTGGTCCAATAAACTCGCCATGGAGATTCGTGAAAGTTAGTTTGTAACAGATCAAGAAAATCCATTGCGAAATTTTAAAAGTCAAAACAGAAACTTATTGGAATTCACACGATAAATCTAGATATGTACCCGTAATAAAATAAATTTAATAAGTTCATCCTCTGTATGTAGAGATAGCTGAAGTGACAGGAGAAACCCCACACATGATTGTAAATCAGCTTCACAGATCTAAGTTGGATGCTAATCGAGAAAGGGACGAGGCCACGCAGGGTGACTTCAAGTCTGAGTGCACATTCGACACTTATCACGGGTATGACACGTGTTTTATTTATTCGATTGTTAGGCTTATTGAGAGAGTGTGAGATGGTTCGAGAATCGAAATGGTTGAAGAGAAGTCTTGCGCTCAAACCCCACAAAGAAACGAGGAAAATAATAAAAGTCGTCAGTGGTATCACTAATATCAGACACCGTTTTATATTGTATTGCCTTGTATTTTATCAAGTTCTTCAGGTTTATAGAGAAAGCACACAATCTGGTTAAAAAGACCGCACAACCAGGAATACACTTTGACATTCACGGGGTTGGCAGTCACCCTGACCTTTGGTTCGAGCTAGGTTATCTCATCGACAACGATGATTTGGACTCTGGAAGACTCAGAAGGTTTGAAGTCTGTTGAATAATTATAAACCATCTCGAGTGAAAACGTTCCAATTTCGTTCGACTATTGTGAAATTAAGTTCATATCAAGTACTATAAGTATATTAAGTATCATTTGTATGGTTTAAATTTAAGAAGATAAAATGTAAACCAATTTGGCAATTTGTAAGATTTCCAGAGGAAGCACAAAATAACACCACTACAGGTCAGAGTCCTCAATAAACGCGCTGGCACACCGTGTAGATGTATCCTTTGAACAGATCCTCCGAGGAGATGCCAGTATAGGGGCCATGTTCCAAGAGGCTGGCTACAAGGCCATACCCTCGCCCCGATACCCTGGTCCAGGGTCCGGAGTGGGTGGGAAGTACTTCAGAGGCGGGTACACTACCAGGAGATGGGGTTCCAAGGATGGGGGTGATATTGACTGTATCCAGATGGAGCTACCTCCAGAACCGAGGAGGAACAACATGGAACATGGACCAAGAATGGGACAAGTGATGGGCGAGTTTGTCAACAAGTACTATTTACCCCAACGACTCTGCGCGTCTCCTTTCCATGCTTGTTAAACTGCGAAAAACTTTGATGTTTAATGTACCTTGCATGGAGTCAGATCAGAACGTTCGAGCGGAAATACGGATGATTATTAATCACTCTACACTCGACTGTCACGTTGCTCTAACCAGAGCCCTCTCGCTTGCAGTAGCGCGCGACCGCCGAAGGCGGCAAGCAAAGGATATATATTCTATGTTCTACTTGTGAAACAAGCGCGTCACGCAGTACGCGTATACACATGGCTATGTGAAACTGTCACGTGACTTTTTAAACACGTCCTCTAGGTTACTGGGCCGCGCTCAGCCTATCAGTATCATTCCGCTGAATCTCTATGAACATGATAGCCGCAGGTCCCCAGCTAGATAACCTCTGATTTATGTGGCTCTGATTGGGCTACCGGACAACTGAACCCAATTCGGACTTTTCCTAGACAGGGTAGCTTGGGAAAATAATTATAAACCCAATCAGACTACCTAATTAACTTTTAAACGACAACTGAACCCAATCGTCACTAGAAATCACTAACAGTTTCCACGTTGATTTCGGATGGGCATGTAGATAAAGCTTCGGTGAGGAGGTTTTGTGTTGCTGGGAGGTGTTGGTCGGCAGCTTTCCGCTTTAATTCTGCTCTGAACTCTGCTTTCTCAGCTACTAAGAAAAGGATACGATCCACTGCTCCTCAAGCACCGAGATCCGACCCAGGGCTCGATATCTGAACCATGGCAGGCCCTCCCAAAGCATCAGGAGTCACGAGATCTGAGCCAAGTAACCTGAGCCAATTATCCAGCGTGCTAATGGTGCGCTCCATCAGCTTTGGAAGACATGAAACAGTGGAACTATAAGAACGCCCATCAAGATCCGTATCTACAAGGCTAACTTTCAAAGCTAAACGGACACTTTGTCAGAAGACTGAGAGGACGACTCCGTAAAGGCTGGATGGCCTGTGTTCTCGAGGATGCGGCTGACAGGTGTCGATAACATCAGCAGAGACGCAGTAAAACAGTTAGCTCTAAAACTAGTGGAACACCGTAGAAGAGATGTGTGTGATGCAGGCCACTCCAACGACTAGGAGGAGACCTCTTCAATCTTCATGTAGCATGTATGTATTAATATTTTACCGGGGTAAGCACAGGGCTCCAATGCTCTAAATTACAGTGGTCATGATCTATCCTATAGTGATAATGACCACATTCATATCACTGAAAATCCGATCGTTGGGTTCAGTTGTCGTATTTCCTTGGGTTCAGTTGTCGTATTTTCAATTTGGGTGCAGTTGTGATATGACCTGGGTTCAGTTGTCGTTTTGGGATTTAAGCTGATTGGTCACCCAATTAAGCTGATTGGGTGCCTGTTAAATGCGTGGGAACTAGATTCAATTGGGTTCAGTTGTCTGCCACCCTCTGATTGATTATTCGAAATCCTAATCATGGCCGGCCATCTAATCTGATACCAACCCTAACCCTAACCCAATCTCTAACTGAAACATATGCTGCAGAAACCCTTATAACCCTAACTTGAAATTATACCAACTTCCTTATTATGGTCATATCACGTGATCGAGACAGTTTTTCGCCGATATTTCGCTAGGGGAGCATTTTAACCCTTATATGTCATGTGCAGTGGGGTGATTCGGAATCAGCTTGTAGCGCGATGCACTACTGGGTCGCGCGCGCGCATCCAATAATGCTTCTCGCAACCACATATGCAGATCGGCGAGATGCGAAGGATTGACATCGTGAATCAAGGAATCAGCGTACGAAAATACATTGAATCAGGTAGATTTCAACTGTCAGGGGGCCCTTTTAGAAAAATCTCGAAGGTCGACTGTAAAGTGATTTAGCACGCTCGCGGAAATATTGTTAACAAAAATAATAAAATTGTTGTAATGTGTAAGAGCGTTTCTGATTTTATTCAAATTTTTGTGATTATTGATTTAATGTTTACAATTTAAAATTGTTTCATTCGCCATTATCCATATAGTTTAATTGACGATGTTGCAATCCTGATCCTTCATGCACAGCTCGACGTGGCCCAGTGGCCATTTTAGTGGTGGCGGTGCATTTCGCCGATTAAGATCTAAATTCTAATATAACGAATGATCTCCGATCGGCTTAATATAATAGTACATCGGCCCAGTTTAGTATATATCTATAGTGCATCGCGCTACAAGCGTGCTTTAGCTACGCCATGACAATACACAATATCATTATTAATGGGTTTTTTATCCGCACCTATTTATCTCCTCAGAGGTCTTCATCAGGTTAATCCACAACCCCTATTTTCTTAATTTTTACTTGTGTCAAAATTTTCTCGAATGAGCTACATACAGATTAATATCAGTGGTCTTAGTATAACATATCAGGTGTGCAAATTTTACAAAGCCTTAATTTGCAGACAGCACTGATTTGATTTTCATGAAAGCTACAAAAAAGAGTGTAAAGGCGGTTATTATATATGGTAGAATTAAAAACTTTTGCGCAAAGCTTGGGGTGCAGCCGGGTGCAAAGCTTGTCTATTCTTGAAAATGGCCGACTAACCCGGCGCGGCGGCGCGCGCTACTTTGTAGCACTTATAATGTTTCGAGAAGACATGAAGCGGCGTGCGCTACTTTGAAAAAATTTAGACGAGTAACATGATCGAACATCGGATCCGTCGACCGTCAAGTACTGCAAAGCTTGACCACTGTTAATGGTCTGGCCCGGCGCGCGCTACTTCGTAGCAGGTAGCGCTTGCCATCGGGCCATTTCGAGAAAAAACGGCCATCGGGCCATTTCGAGAAGAAAGCGGCGCGCGCTATAACTTCGAAGAAATTTAGACGAGTAACATCCGTCAAGTGCAAAGCTAACATCGACAAATAAAATAAGTTTTAATTGCAGACGATGTAAATTTTGATCGCAGCGAGGCCATCGGCGAGGCCCCTAGCTAGTATATTAGCGCATCTCGCCGATCTGCGAGGAGCATTATTGAGTGCGCGGCGCGGCCCAGTAACGCATTGCGCTACATTATACATGCAAGGCTTGGTTTAATGCAATTACAACTTTATTGCATGGCATGACACGCCAATCTCAATGCACGACAATCTCACACAGGGGGGGGGGGGCTGAAACCATGTTTTCGATCAAACGCTGCCATTTGTAGTCAAACGTCGCCAACAGTTGCTCTCGTCCAATGAAATCGCTGCATTTTGCCTACCATTGTGCATAGTTAAATTACATATATTCGTATGCAAAGTTTGGCTTTCATAATGCAGCGCGGTGATTTCATTGGACGAGAGCAACTGTTGGCGACGTTTGACTACAAATGGCAATGTTTGATCGAAAACCTGGTTTCAGCTCCGCTGCTCCCCCTAGCTGTGCTCAATGCACGACGCTCGCGCTCTTTTCGAGCTTGGATTCGCGTGCAGCTCAGTGAGAGATCAAGCGAGCAATAGAATATAGCATGAGCAAGCTAATTTGGAGGACCAAAGTGCATAGAAACTGCGGCTGACTGCTGCTGACTGCTGCTAACTGCTAGCTGCTAACTGTTGCTAACTGATGCTGTCGCGCGCGCGCCATTTGCAGCAGTTAGCAGCAGTTAGCAGCAGTTAGCAGCAGTCAGCAGTAGTCAGCAGCAGTTTTTATGCACTTTGGTCATCAGGTGTGATCCCAATATGCCATGCATTGTGTTACATAAAAAATTTAACAGATCATTCATGATTCAAATACGTACTAAACCCGACTTTAATGGTTTCGCGTATTTTTTTAAATTACGGAAATCGCGATATAGTATTTTTTAATTTCGATAACTTGTTAATTTGTAAATTTTAAATGATATTTTTAAATATTTGATTTTTAAACTGATCTGTTGTCGTATTTATTAACTAATATTGACTTAATTTTGAAATGTTGTCAAGACTATAATAGACTAGCAAGCGAGCTTATGTCAACCTACAAATATCTTTACCTTGCTCGCCAATCTTTGTGTGTGGCCCTTTTTTCAAGCTTCCACAATACACAGGTAACAGAATTAGTCCATTGCTACCAATATCTTTTGAAATATCAACAATCAAATGTATGCACACAATTTTCAAAACTCATGATCTACTCCATCATAGGAGCAGGGATGAGGTTATGACACTTATGATAGAGGTGTCTCATGTTTGTTTTCTATCTTCTTTTCTCTCCTTATTAGTCTTTTATTGATGTAAAATCTAATGTGCCAGTTAGTTACACCCCTTAATCCTGAGTCTTAGATTTATCAGACCACATTCAAATTTATTCATATATGCATAGCATCCTATTGGAAAATACAGTAGACTTTTTAAATCGTTTCGACCTTGTGAAAAGGTTGGCATTTTTGAATTTGTTACCACCCGAGATTAAGCACACCAAGTCGGTCACATTTACCAACTGATTTTAAGTGCAACTTGTTTGTAAGTGCAACTTATTTTGCTAAAATCTTTGTTTTACTACTAATAAACTGCACTCTCATCTTGTGTAGAGGCTTAATCATGTTTTTCAGTCTGTCAAACCAAAACTTCTTGGTTACAGAACTTAGAAAGATTTCGGTTCTTCACAATCTTTTACTCCCAGATTTTGTCAAAATAAGTTTGAATTGTTTAATAAAAGGGTAATTTTCAAAATTGACGGACGATGAATTGTTTTTACAGGTATTTCAAGCCCTTTTTGGAATTTTACAAACCACAGTTAAAATTTATTTTATGATAATACAGTCCATTGTTCTTTGTTGCATGTCATAGTTTCATTTAATTAAACTGTATCAATGATGATATGAAATAGTAAAATCTATTTTAATAGTTTTCTCAATGGAAATTATACTGTAGGTGAAGGGACCCTGAAACTATGTTTAGAGTACAGGTATGTCAATGGAATGTTATTATTCATTGCTCAATATAAATCATTACTTGATTTCATATTTTAGCTCATGAATTTCTGCTGTTCATGATTGCTATAAGAGTTTATAGAGCTACCTTGAAAACTGTTAGTTATCTGAGCATAACAGCAAAAGTCGGACGATTTTATTCAGCGGTAAGTACATGTGTCGGAAAACGTTTGTTAAAAATCATTGTTATACTAGAAGGTAATTCTTTAAATGCTGCTGAAAACAACTGTTCTCTAAGTTCCACGATTCACCTCATTTTCATTCCAGATAATCTCATTATTTGACTCACAAATTATACAGGGTGGGCCAAAAGTCAGTGTACGGAGCCTTAATTATAGCTCTACCGTGTTTTATATTTGAAAGCTTTCGCTTTGCAGATGGCATACTGTACTTACTGGTTCGAGGATTCCGTCGTCAAAATTTGAAAATTCGAATATTTTAGACAACGCCCATTCAATATTAAAACACTTATATTGTTTTCTCTGAACATACTGAACGCCCACTTTTTTTCGAGACGGTAGATTATTAAATGTTGCATATGATCTGAAAACATGAGGCAAAACAGATTAGAAATAACAAAGTTATCAAGCATTTTCTGTATCTCGTTAACAAAATTGACTGGGTGATTATGTGACACCATGACGCGACTCCTTAATTGGGCTCCCTTAACAATTCCCATAATGTTCAACTGGGTGGTTAACAGGGTCACCTAATCACGTGATTAGGTAAACCAATCTCCTGATCACACGTAATTGAATAAACTCGTTATGCTTCATATCTCGGTCATCTGAGAAGCTACAGTTCTAATTTTTTGAGGACAAACGTAACTCGAATGGCCAAACACAATTCAATAAAATTTAGCTCGATCCGACTATCCAAACTATCAAATAAATGCAAAAATTAACGTTCATTTGAAAAAAATGAACTCGAATATTTTTCGATTTGACAAATTCCTCGAACCAGTGGTGGTAGTAAGTCATACCAGAAAGAATTATTTCAATTGGGCACTCAGTGACTGAGCTATTTTAAGGCAAACGTATGTACACTGACTTTTGGCCCACCCTGTATTTAACACTAAAACCAATTTTTACCACCTATTGATCAGCTCAGTAAGTGGTTTAGTTTTCACCCAACGCAATACTAAAGTTTCTCATTTTGTATCCCCCTCTCTCTCTCCCTCCTTTACAGCCTAGCCAGTATTAAAATTACAAAGCAGTGTTTCGTAGGAAATCCAATTATTGTACTTGGAAATCACCTTCATTAGATTACATTACAGACATATCTTGATCGTTTGATAATCTTTGCAAGCTGATTTGCAAGCTGATTTGCAAGCTGATGCAGGTTCTGCCTAAGCAGGCCCATACTTTACACTTTTAACTGTAACAGCAGAATCCCGACCATACGCCGGGTTACACTAGTAACTTTTTAATGCTGCCTAAATCAATTGCATTGGTAAGATAACACCCACAAGCTACCGCTCCAATCTCCATGGCCATTCACTATGATTGTGAGCTCTTAGTACTATAATAATAGACCCCTTAGCAGCACTAGATTTTAATTATGTATAAATATTCAGTGTATAAGTATCTAATCTACCCTTGCCTATTACATCTATTGTTAATGACATCCTTATATCTCTTGTTCTACTGCAGTGAACAAGAGAGATAAATGAGCTTACTTAGTAATTATAATAGCAGAACTATTTCCTTAATTATTATATACTTGCTTGCCTCCTGTGTGTATCAAAGAAAACACACATGTCGTGATAGTTCAAGAGCTTTCCTATTGTGGAGTTTGTTGTAAGTTTAGTCTGGCATATAGTTATACAAATTTAATCCGTGATACACTGTATTATAAAGTTAGATAGTAGGCTCTTGCAATTTGAAAGGTACAGTATGAACACAATATGCTTTGTACGTGTTACAAATATGAAATGTATTGGACTCAAAGATCAACACTTTGTTATAGTTTTACTGTATAGACCAACGGCTCTTTTGAAAGATCTGTTCACTGATATTCTTTCTTTGGTAGCTCTTGCTAGCACTGTTTGTGTCCTTTGTAAATTTTTTAATCGCATTCTTGATCCATTGTGTCACGTAATTGATAAAGATTTGTAGCCATTGTGCTAAAGTACTCCCCCCTGTTTGCAGCTTTGTCATACAAGGACAGTCTGAAGTAGATTCTCTTTGAGTTGTATTTTGAGTTAGATTTGTCTCGTCTGGTCTTATGAAGTTTCGTTACTTTTCTTTCCGGCTCACAAAAAGTCCAAAAAAGAAGAAAAGAACGTCTCTCCATGAGAATGAAATTGTAGGTTATGATACATTGCTATGTCAGATGCTTCCTTTACGCATGGCTATGGCTTTCAAGTACAGCATATTTCGTATCAGCTCATGAGCATTTGAAAATGTAATATTAGATCAAATATATAGTAAGGGGAAAAGTGGCATTCCGTTGGATTTGAATGTTCACAAGGATTTCTCAACGGAATATGGTAGTTAGGACCCCTACGAACATGATTAGACTTGTTGCCAATTTTGTATCTCAACAGAAACACCACTTTTACCACTTTTTACCACCTCTGTACCACCTTTCTGGTTTGCCAAATATCTTTAGTTGTGAACATCGTAGAAGGCTGCAAATTAACCTAGAATGTTTATCTTATCAAGGAGTAAAACTTTTGTATTAAAAATTTTTACATTGGACAATCAGCTAATTGGATAATTACCAATTAGTTAATCACCAAAAAAAGTGAAAATTTTTTATTGGCTCAAAATGATTGAAATCGTTTGAAACACGGAGAAATGTAGTTTTTAGAAAAACTTCAAAAATTTTTCACTTAAAAATTTTTTTCGAGACTTGGAAAAAAGTTTGAAAATTTGAAAATATTTTTTTCCGCCAAAGGTGATCGAATTGCATGAAACGTGAATAAAAATGCTTTGCAGTAAAACTTCGAAGATTTTTAGATTGGGGAATTCTAAAATCATCAATATTTGAAGTTGGAGTTCAGTAAATCTCGACATATTTTAGTAATTAGGAATAGCTTATATATTAGCGGAAAGGGCTGAACCTGAAAAAGGTTAACCACACAATATTAGAGTTTCATAACTAATTACAATACAGCTTTATCAAATTCCACATAAAGAAACAGCACAAAAGGACCATTTAAGATCGAACCGATTTTACCTGCTGTTCTATCATTTTATTGATTTCAATGATCAAAACCTCTGTACTGTCAATCTTGCCAATCTATACCGGGTATCTGAATGTACCGGACCTTTTATTTACCTCTATAATTAGACCCAGTTGTGCAAGAAATCCGATTTCTCACAGGGGTTTCTTTTAACTGTGCACTTTTTGTCACTCTCGCAAGAGGCCCGGTATTATAGGGGGGTATAGGAAGCGTAAATATACCTTCCATCATCCACTGTGGCTTTTTTGTATTGTGAATGCGCATGCCGCTTCGTTTGCTATGCCAGATACCTCAAATAACCCCCATATCTCATTGCCAGGGTCGGGATAGAGCTGGAGATAGCATCGAGAGGTTGCTAGAAATAGCTAGATTTAGAGTAAACTGGTGGTAGCTGGGTGGTGCTAGCATGGATGTAGCAGAACGTAGCTACACGGGGTTTCATTGGAGTTGGTTATTTTAATGGCCAAAGAGTGCCGGAACTAAAGTTACTTAAGATTGCAGTTTAGGGGCAGTGTAAACCACGGTGTAGTCAGGGACTCAGAGCTACAGTGCAGGAGTACTGCAAAAGAACAGTGCAAGTGATACAGTCTGCAACAGTAAAACGCCGACAAAGCTAGACTTAGAGTGAACTGATGAAAGCTGGGTGGTGCTAAAATGGAGGTGGCAGAACGTACTAGTACTACATGATGAAAACAGGAAAACTCAGGCTGGTTGAGACCTAAAAAGATGTAATCTTTCCTGATAGATCCAGTGAAGAGCGAGTAGCGAAGAGTTTGATCATTAACCTAAAGCTCTAAAGAAGAAAAGGGCTAAAGAGACTCGCTTAGGTACGGCAAGGTCTGTAGCCTTGATAAGAAGATACCATGAAGTAATTCATGCGGAAAAGTCGATTTATATAAACGGTTTCGTTGGATCTAAAAGGGGTGGGTCAGTCTCTCTGTTTTCATCAGATTCTGATAAAAGGCTGTTAAGCTCAAGATGGTGATCTTAATAGGTCGGGTAGCTGTACCTGGTTGCTTCCAGCCCACCCTTGTCGCTTGAAAATAAGTTCTCACCCCACCTCTTCCAAAAATGCAGTTACCAGAGCAGGAAACTCTTCTTCCTCCTCTTCTTTCAACCCAAATACAATCAGGTTCCAGCTCCTCTCCTCCTCTGCAGCCACAATCTTATCTCCTTCTTCGGCGTTTTACTGTTGCAGACTGTATCACTTGCACTGTTCTTTTGCAGTACTCCTGCACTGTAGCTCTGTGTCCCTGACTACACCGTGGTTTACACTGCCCCTAAACTGCAATCTTAAGTAACTTTAGTTCCGGCACTCTTTGGCCATTAAAATAACCAACTCCAATGAAACCCCGTGTAGCTACGTTCTGCTACATCCATGCTAGCACCACCCAGCTACCACCAGTTTACTCTAAATCTAGCTATTTCTAGCAACCTCTCGATGCTATCTCCAGCTCTATCCCGACCCTGGCAATGAGATATGGGGGTTATTTGAGGTATTTGGCATAGCAAACGAAGCGGCATGCGCATTCACAATACAAAAAAGCCACAGTGGATGATGGAAGGTATATTTACGCTTCCTATACCCCCCTATAATACCGGGCCTCTTGCGAGAGTGACAAAAAGTGCACAGTTAAAAGAAACCCCTGTGAGAAATCGGATTTCTTGCACAACTGGGTCTAATTATAGAGGTAAATAAAAGGTCCGGTACATTCAGATACCCAGTATAGATTGGCAAGATTGACAGTACAGAGGTTTTGATCATTGAAATCAATAAAATGATAGAACAGCAGGTAAAATCGGTTCGATCTTAAATGGTCCTTTTGTGCTGTTTCTTTATGTGGAATTTGATAAAGCTGTATTGTAATTAGTTATGAAACTCTAATATTGTGTGGTTAACCTTTTTCAGGTTCAGCCCTTTCCGCTAATATATAAGCTATTCCTAATTACTAAAATATGTCGAGATTTACTGAACTCCAACTTCAAATATTGATGATTTTAGAATTCCCCAATCTAAAAATCTTCGAAGTTTTACTGCAAAGCATTTTTATTCACGTTTCATGCAATTCGATCACCTTTGGCGGAAAAAAATATTTTCAAATTTTCAAACTTTTTTCCAAGTCTCGAAAAAAATTTTTAAGTGAAAAATTTTTGAAGTTTTTCTAAAAACTACATTTCTCCGTGTTTCAAACGATTTCAATCATTTTGAGCCAATAAAAAATTTTCACTTTTTTTGGTGATTAACTAATTGGTAATTATCCAATTAGCTGATTGTCCAATGTAAAAATTTTGTAATACAAAAGTTTTACTCCTTGATAAGATAAACATTCTAGGTTAATTTGCAGCCTTCTACGATGTTCACAACTAAAGATATTTGGCAAACCAGAAAGGTGGTACAGAGGTGGTAAAAAGTGGTAAAAGTGGTGTTTCTGTTGAGATACAAAATTGGCAACAAGTCTAATCATGTTCGTAGGGGTCCTAACTACCATATTCCGTTGAGAAATCCTTGTGAACATTCAAATCCAACGGAACCCTTAAATCGACCACTTTTCCCCTTACTAATATTACCATTTTAAACAATAATTATCGAACTACATAAATTAATCAACAGATAATATAAATCAAAATTTCGTTTATACTCATTTTAAAATTTTAAAATATAGTTTTACAATACTCCTCACATTGCAAATCTATCAATCCCAAAAACCTAATATTTTTATAATTTACTGTAAGCATTCATAAGCATCTAAAACTAACACATGGTGCAGGTGGGCCATTATCAACACAACAGCAAATAATATCGTCTGTTAAATCTTCAATTTCCATTTTTCTCTTCTCACGCTGTTACATTGTTCTATGGCAACTTGGTCGTTTAGCTCCGGACAGTCTATGCAACGTCTATGCAAACTACCAACTTCCCTGTTCTATTTATTTCCATCAGAATCTGTCTTCCCTGAGTCTATTCAGAAACAATCAGACATTTTAATGAAAGAAACATCTAATAATATAATATTGTAATAATGAGGTTTAATAAATCGAACATAATATCGTAAACATTAACTCGACCAACTTTCTGTTATATATCATTGACACGTGAAATACTGAAATCAGCAAGTTACTCACTATAACAATATCGAATCAGGATTTAGAAAATATATTATGTAGGTACTATCAAACTTTAAATGGAGTTGTTCTGTTTATTAGTCTCATAATGAAATACTGATAGTTGGATAATATCCCTTTGAAAAAGACAAGGACAAATGAAACAGGAAGTAAGGAATGTAGGCAAATTTTCGGCGTCAACGTAATCTTCAGGCTATAATTGGTACAAATTTTAGTATAAATTCTAAATGGTTTGACAATGCTTAAATTACAAACACTGAATACAGATTACATCGAATGGTCTTACATATTACACAAAATTGTGGTGTACACACGTTTTACGCTATGTCCAAGTACATATTATTATATCTACCGAACATGAGGGTCGTGTGCTATTTGTTTAAAGTTGTCTCTGAAAGTTGTCCTTATTCAATAAAACACATCGCAAAGCCCTACATCTAATCTATGGTTAGGAAGTATGGACGATACATATTATATAATTTATTATATAACTTTATTCAAATCTAACCTAAAATTTAATTATATAATACAGTATTTAAACTGTTTATTAACTGTTTATAACCAATTTAACACGTGCAATATTGCAGGTCCCCGCCGACGACATGCCACAGATAGAGAGGTCACATGACTACAACTTCGACCTGGCGGTCCTTGGTGGCGGTAGTGGGGGGCTTGCTTGTGCTAAGGAGGCCGCTAAACACGGCGCCAAGGTTAGTTATATATAGTTACCATGGTTACCAGTTAGTTATACTTGTAGACTTTTAAAGATCTGTTGTTATACTTGTAATTATTATTAATATTATTATATATATATATTATGTATATATATATTATATATATTATTATATATATTATATATATTATATATATATATATATACAAGGGTTTTTACTGCATGAACTGCCCTGCATTCTCTGAATACAACTTGTAGACTTGTAAAGATCTGTTTTTAGCTGAGATCTGTTTTTAGCTCCCCTTTGGGTTCCTGCCTTCTGGCATGTAAACTGGGGTGAACATAGGGAGAGGGCTCTGTTAATAGCTTCTAATTAACTAATTATCTGATTGTACTATCACTTGTTTTTTGGGAGCTTTTCCTAGTTTTACAAGAGTTTCCACGATCAGCTCTGAAATCTGAATTCTCTGAATATAACTTGTGTAATAATACATAATACATTGTACATTAATACATACATTCAAATAACGCGTGCACTATCAGGTGGTAGTGTTTGATTTCGTTCAGCCGACCGCCCAGAAGACCACTTGGGGTATTGGAGGCACGTGTCTCAATGTGGGCTGCATTCCTAAGAAACTGATGCACACCGCCAGTATCTACGGTTAGATAACATTCGAATGGAAAAATTCGTGCAAATTTCAAAATAACAGCTCGTATGATGTTGACGTCGATTTTTTATTCACTTTTTCCCGCATTTTTCAGAACAGCAATATTATTATCCCTAGGGTTTGAAATAAAATGAGATGAAAGTTATTTCATGCAAACTGTGTTTGTAACGAAAGACCCAGAAAGTAAATTATCTAATTTAATAACCACTCAAGAACGTAAAAATAACGCACTGTCAGGTGAGCTAATGGAAGACGCCCAGAACTACGGATGGGACGTCACCAGGAACTCTCACGACTGGGGCAAGATGGTGGGCAACATTCAGAACCACATAAAGGGTCAGAACTGGAAGATACGAGTGGATCTGCGGGAGAAGAATGTGACGTATTATAATGAGTACGCTACCTTTGTTGACAAGCACACTGTCAAGGTATTACAGTAGCGTTATAGTGTGTTTTATAGCTGTTATAGTGGGGGGGGGGGGTGTCACGTCCGTCTATGTCCGCTTGTCTCATAGAATCCAAAAAGGACAGGACATAGGCGGACATAGGCGGACATAGACGGACATAGGCGGACATAGGCGGACATAGACGGACATAGGCGGACATAGGCGGACATAGGCGGACATTAATGGACACCTAAATTGCTAAATAAAATGTTCAATTTTTGCTGTTATAGGGGGATCATGTTTTTTGTCCGTTCGGTACCCTATATTTTCAAAACGGACAAAAAATAGAGCGGACAAAAACGGACAAAAATGGACAAAAACGGACAAAAATGGAAATAACATTTAGATGCTTCCTCCTCCTACTCTTCCTCCTCCTCCCCCTGGGTCTTCCTGATCTTCCTCAGCTTCAGTCCTCTTCCTCCTCCCCTCCTCAGTCCTCCTCCTACTCCTCGTCCTCGTCCTCAGTCCTCCTCATCAGTCCTCAACAGTCCTCCTCCTCCCCAGTCCTCCTCCTCCTCCTGAGTCCTCCTCCTGAGTCCTCCTCCTGGGTCCTCCTCCTGGGTCCTCCTCTTCCTCCTCAGTCCTCAGTCCTCCTCCTAATCCTTCTCCTCAGTCCTCCATCCTCCTCCTCAGTCCTCCCCCAGTCCCCCTCCTCCTCCTCCTATTCAGTCCTCCTCCTCCTCCTCCTTCTCAGTCCTCCTCAGTCCTCCTCCTCCTCCTCCTCTTCCCTCTCAGTCATCCTCCTCAGCCATCCTCCTCAGTCCTCCTCAGTCCTCCTCAGTCCTCCTCAGTCCTCCTCCTCCTAGGTCCTCCTCCTCCTGGGTCCTCCTCCTCCTCTTCATCCTCCTCCTCTTCCTCCTCGGTCCTCAGTCCTCCTCCTCCTGGGTCCTCCTCCTCATCCTTCTCATCAGTCCTCCTCCTCTTCCTCCTCGGTCCTCAGTCCTCCTCCTCCTGGGTCCTCCTCCTCATCCTTCTCATCAGTCCTCCTCCTCCCCAGTCCTCTCCCAGTCCCCCTCCTTCTCCTCCTCCTATTCAGTCCTCCTCCTTCTCCTCCTCAGTTCTCCTCAGTCCTCCTTCTCATTTCTCCTAAGTCCTCCTCCTGAGTCCTCCTCCTGAGTCCTCCTCCTCTTCCTTCTGAGTCCTCCTCCTGAGTCCTCTTCCTCCTCTTCCTCCTCCTCCTCCCTCTCAGTCATCCTCCTCAGCCATCCTCCTCAGCCATCCTCCTCAGTCCTCCTCCTTCTCAGTCCTCCTCAGTCCTCCTCCTGAGTCCTCCTCCTCCTCAGTCATCCTCCTCAGTTCTCCTCCTCCTCCTCCTAGGTCCTCCTTATGGGTCCTCCTCCTCCTCCTCCTCCTGGGTCTTCCTGATCCTTCTCCTCCCTCTCAGTCATCCTCCTCAGTCATCCTCCTCAGCCATCCTCCTCAGCTATCCTTCTCAGCCATCCTCCTCAGTACTCTTCAGTACTCTGCAGTACTCTTCAGTCCTCAAAATGTTTGTCCGCTAATGTGGGGGGGGGGGGGGGCTCATGTTTTTTGTCCGTTCGCTACCCTATATTTTCAAAACGGACAAAAAATAGAGCGGACAAAAACGGACAAAAACGGACAAAAAATAACAAAAATGGAAAGAACATTTAGATGTTTCCTCCTCTTCCTCCTCCACCTCCTCTTCCTCCTCCTCCTCCTCCTCTTCCTCCTCCTCAGTCCTCTTCCTGGGTCCTCCTCCTGGGTCCTCCTCCTAGGTCCTCCTCCTCCTTCTCCTCTTCAGTCCTTCTCCTCCTCAGTCTTCCTTCTCCTCCTCCCTCTCAGTCCTCCTCCTCAGTCCTCCTCCTCCTCCTCCCCTCCTCCTCCTCCTCCCCCTCCTCCTCAGTCCTCCTCCTTTTCATCATCCTCTTCTTCTTTTTCAGTCCTCAGTCCTCCTCCTCATCCTTCCCCTTAGTCCTCCTCCTCCTCAGTCCTCCTCCTTATGTCAGTCCTTCTCAGTCCTCCTCCTCAGTCCTTCCCCAGTCCCCCTCCTCCTCCTATTCAGTCCTCCTCCTCCTCCTCAGTTCTCCTCAGTCCTCCTCCTTCTCAGTCCTCCTCCTCAGTCCTGATCCTCCTTCTCCTGGGTCCTCCTCCTGGGTCATCCTGATCCTCCTCAGTCTTCTTCCTCCTCCCCTCCTCAGTCCTCCTCCTACTCCTACTCCTCAGTCCTCCTCCTACACAGTCCTCCTCCTCCACAGTCCTCCTCCTCCACAGTCCTCCTCCTCATCAGTCCTCCTCCTCCTCATCAATCCTCTTCACCAGTCCTTCTTCTCCTCCTCCTCCTTAGTCCTCCTCATCCTCCTCATCCACCTCCTTCCCCTCTTCTTCCTCCTCTTCTTCCTCCTCCCCTCCTTAGTACTCCTCCTACTCCTACTCCTCAGTCCTCCTCCTCCTCAGTCCTCCTCCTCCACATCAGTCCTCCTCCTCCTCATCAATCCTCTTCACCAGTCCTCCTTCTCCTTCTCCTCCTCCTTCCCCTTAGTCCTCCTCATCCTCCTCATCCACCTCCTTCCCCTCCTCATCATTCCTCATCAGTCGTCCTCCTCCGCCTCCCCTCCTCCTCCTCAGTCCCCTCTTCAGTCCTCCTCAGTCCTCATCCTCCTTCTCGTCAGTCCTCCTCAGTTTTACTCCTCCTCCTCCCTCTCAGTCATCCTCCTCAGCCATCCTCCTCAGTCATCCTCAGTCCTCCTCCTCCTCAGTCCTCATCCTCCTCATATTTCTCCTTAGTTCTCCTCCTCCTCAGTCCTCCTCAGTCCTCCCCCAATCCCCCTCCTCCTCCTATTTAGTCCTCCAACTCCAACTCCTCAGTTCTCATCAGTCCTCCTCCTTCTCAGTCCTCCTCCTCCTCCTTCTCAGTCCTCCTCCTCCTCCTCCTCAGTCCTCCTCCTCCTCAGTCATCCTCCTCAGTCCTCCGCCTCCTCCTCCTCCTGGGTCCTCCTCCTGGGTCATCCTGATTCTCCTCAGTCCTCTTCCTCCTCCCCTCCTCAGTCATTCTCCTACTACTCCTCAGTCCTCCTCCTCCTCAGTCCTCCTCCTCCTCCTCATCAGTCCTCCTCCTCATCAATCCTCTTCACCAGTCCTTCTTCTCCTCCTCCTCCTTAGTCCTCCTCATCCTCCTCATCCACCTCATTCCCCTCCTCGTCATTCCTCACCAGTTATCAGTCATCCTCCTCAATCCTCCTCCGCCTCCCCTCCTCTTCCTCAGTCCCCCTCTTCAGTCCTCCTCCTCAGTCCTCCTCCTCCTTCTCCTCAGTCCTCCTCCTCAGTCCTCCTCCTCCCCCTATATCCTCCTCCTGGGTCATCCTCCTCCTCCTCCTGGGTCATCCTGATCCTCAGATCCTCCTCAGTCCTCTATCTCCTCCCCTCCTCAGTCCTCCTCCTACTCCTACTGCTCAGTCCTCCTCCTCCTCCTCATTAGTCCTCCTCCTCCTCATCAATCCTCTTCACCAGTCCTCCTTCTTCTCCTCCTTCTCCTTAGTCCTCCTCATCCTTCTCATCCACCTCCTTCTCCTCATCATTACCCATCAGTCATCCTCCTCAGTCCTCCTCCGCCTCCCCTCCTCCTCCTCAGTCCCCCTCTTCAGTCCTCCTCCTCAGTCCTCCTCAGTACTCCTCCTTAGTCCTCCTCAGTTTTACTCTTCCTCCTCCTCCCCAGTTCTCCTTAGTCCTCCTCCTCCTCCTCCTCCTCCTCCTCCTCCTCCTCCTCCTCCTCCTCCTCCTCCTCCTCCTCCTCCTCCTCCTCCTCCTCCTCATCCTCCTATTCAGTCCGCATCCTCGGTTCTCCTCAGTTCTCCTTCTTCTCAGTCCTCCTCCTCCTCAGTCCTCCTCCTCCTCAGTCCTCCTCCTCCTCCTCCTCCTCCTCCTCCTCCTCATCCTCCTATTCAGTCCGCATCCTGATCCTCGGTTCTCCTCAGTTCTCCTTCTTCTCAGTCCTCCTCCTCCTCAGTCCTCCTCCTCCTCAGTCCTCCTCCTCCTCCTCCTCCTCCTCCTCCTCCTCCTCCTCCTCCTCCTCATCCTCCTATTCAGTCCGCATCCTCGGTTCTCCTCAGTCCTCCTCCTCCTCAGTCCTCCTCCTCCTCAGTCCTCCTCCTCCTCCTCCTCAGCCCTCAGGTCCTGAGTCCTTCTCCTCCTGAGTCCTTCTTCTTCTCCTCCTCCTCCTACTCCTCCTCCTCATCAGTCCTCTTTCTCCTCCTCAGCCCCCTCCTCCTCCTCAGTCCCCCCTCCTCAGTCCCCCTCCTCCTCTTCCTCACTTTCATCCCTCAATAATTTGTTCAATTTATAATTATTGTTGGTGTTATTGTTTACACAATTTATTGTTATACTAAAATGTTTTTAAGCGTATTTGAGTCTGACTCAAAATGTGCTCAAGAATCTTTTGGCTTAACAGAGTTTCACTCTCCAGTAATAATAATATGGAAAAGTTGTTACATGACATATTTCATAAAAAAATTCCCTTTTCATCCCTTTTTATGTTATTCTTAGTACCTAATTGAGTATTAAAAGTTTGAGAAAGGACCATGGTCATTAACCGGGCTACCCATTTCTGCAAATAGCCTGTTACAAATTGTGGAGAAAATTTAAATCAAAAGTTACAATTTTTGTCCGTTTTTGTCCGTTTTTGTCCGTTCGGTACCCTATTTTCTGAAAACGGACAAAATTGAACGGACAAAAACGGACAAAAAATAACATGAGCCCCCCCCCCCCCCCCCCTAATGTCCACCAATGTCCGCTAATGTCCACCAATGTCCATCCAAGTCCGCCAATGTCCGTCCGGGTCCGCCAATGTCCGTCCGAGTCCGCCAATGTCCGTCCGGGTCCGCCAATGTCCGTCCGAGTCCGCCAATGTCCGTCCGAGTCCGCCAATGTCCGTCCGTGTCCGCCAATGTCCCAAAAAACACGTCCGTTGTCTCATAGAATCCAAAAAGGACAGGACATAGGCGGACATAGACGGACATGACACCCCCCCCCCCCCCCCCCCCTATAGTGTATTTTTTAGCTGTTATAGTGTATTTTATAGCTGTTATAGTGTATTTTATAGCTGTTATAGTGTGTTTTATAGCTGTTATAGTGTATTTTATAGCTGTTATAGTGTATTTTATAGCTGTTATAGTGTATTTTATAGCTGGTTCTCATCAACAATCACCCAATGATCGTCTTAAAAATAATGTGTTTAATTTTGACTGTAAGATTTAATCTTACAGATTTTCAATTAACAGCGTAGTCCATAGATAGTCTTGAAAGTAGGGAAAATGCGCACGCCTGATATTTAAATGTAGCTAGGGGTTAGTGTAAGCATGGCAAGAGGCAAGAAGTAAATGGGACTTAAATACGTGACATTTTAAATATGACATTTTAAATATGGCATTTTAAATATTGACAGAGTGTGAACAAGAGGGGAGCAGAGAGGACAGTTACCGCGGACAAGTTCGTGCTAGCTATGGGTGGGAGACCTAACTACCCTGACGTACCGGGAGCTTCAGATTTCGCCATCACCAGGTTAGTTTCTATTTCTATTTAAGTAAGTGTTTAGTAGATCACCAGGTTAGTTTCTATTTAAGTAAGTGTTTAGTAGATCACCAGGTTAGTTTCTATTTAAGTAAGTGTTTAGTAGATTTGTAGATCATCACCAGGTTAGTTTTTATTTCTATTTAAGTAAATGTTTAGTAGATTTGTAGATCATCACCAGGTTAGTTTCTATTTAAGTAAGTGTTTAGTAGATTTGTAGATCATCACCAGGTTAGTTTCTATTTCTATTTAAGTAAGTGTTTAGTAGATCACCAGGTTAGTTTCTATTTAAGTAAGTGTTTAGTAGATTTGTAGATCATCACCAGGTTAGTTTCTATTTCTATTTAAGTAAATGTTTAGTAGATCACCAGGTTAGTTTCTATTTCTATTTAAGGGGTCGTTCACATATTACGTAATCAGCTGAGGGGGGGGGGGGGTTCCGAATGATTACGCTAGTGTAATTTTGACACAATAACTATGTGTAAAAGATTACGGAGGGGGGGGGGGTAAAAATGTTCCAAAAAATGATTACGTAATAATATGTGAACGACCCCTAAGTAAGTGTTTAGTAGATTTGTAGATTCTGGTTGAGAGGTGGGACACGTGACAGTGTCTCCGGGGTTTCGTTGGTCAATAGAGGAAGCTGATTGGTTTATTGTTGTCATCATGTGTCAAAAATATATATGCCTCCCCGCCAGAATACACATCTATTGTAAGTATAGGTACTGAATAAATATTTAATATTTTGATAAAATCACCATCTACAACCCTCATTTCTAGACTGGAATAAAATGTTTTGTTGTTCACGAATAATTGAATAAGGTGTACTGTACACTTCATAGAGTTGGTTTAATAAAGTAAGGTAAGTATGTAAAACATGTTAAACTGTTATAAAGAAAGGTTGGACATGTAGACGTGCTATGTAAGTGAATTATGGTAATCCAGCTTTTGTCTTTTAATGTGAGGTCAGATATGCACGTTGGTATGCACGTTGCAAAACCTAATATACAAAACGTGACCAAAACTTGGCACAATTGCAATGCTGCTTGGACCCTAGATAGATAAGATAGTATAGAGTGTATTTAGCCTAGAAGCGCAACAAATCTGGAATAACATCATGCTCAAAATACAACGTTTATATATTATATGTGGATTTTTGAAGAAACGTATGCTATGGTCTAGATGGAGTAAAACTTTACGTTTTGAGTAATTATCATAAAAGCTCTGAATCTTCTTTTCTATTCTTTATGACTATTTGTGATTGAACTTAAATCATCATTCAGCAATGATCAGAAGACAAACCTTTACACTTTACGTGTACCTTTTGTTCAATCTTATTATGAAGATGAACTTTACACGCTGTACAAATATTTGACCAACCAAAGGTTTCAAAAGTTGAACCATGGCTCAGAATCCTAATTTATTTTTCATAAAACCCAACTTTAACGAAGGTAGTAACATAGCCAAATATCATTGTTATAAGTAGAATGTAGTGCCATTATCCGCCATTATGAAAACTAACTAGCTATCTTATTAACCGTAGTAAAATGTACATGTGGAATGTACCAGGTGTTTTCTTATCACCGGAGCTTTGTACCCATGACATTCAACACGCACCTGCGCCAGACTTGCTAATGAGAGACTTGTCACTAGCACACAATACACATAGCACTGCATCTCCAGATAATATGTCCAGGAAGCAGCCCCACTTGTTAGCAAAGTGGGTGTGTGTGAGCTACTACTTGTTAGCAAAGTGGGTGTGTGTGAGCCACTACTTGTTAGCAAAGTGGGTGTGTGTGAGCCACTACTTGTTAGCAAAGTGCGTGTGTGTGAGCTACTACTTGTTAGCAAAGTGGGTGTGTGTGAGCTACTACTTGTTAGCAAAGTGTGTGTGTGTGAGCTACTACTTGTTAGCAAAGTGGGTGTGTGTGAGCTACTACTTGTTAGCAAAGTGGGTGTGTGTGAGCCACTACTTGTTCGCAAAGTGGGTGTGTGTGAGCCACTACTTGTTAGCAAAGTGGGTGTGTGTGAGCCACTACTTGTTAGCAAAGTGAGTGTGTGTGAGCCACTACTTGTTATTAAAGTGGGTGTGTGTGAGCTACTACTTGTTAGCAAAGTGGGTGTGTGTGTGAGCCACTACTTGTTAGCAAAGTGGGTGTGTGTGAGCTACTACTTGTTAGCAAAGTGGGTGTGTGTGAGCTACTACTTGTTAGCAAAGTGGGTGTGTGTGAGCTACTACTTGTTAGCAAAGTGGGTGTGTGTGAGCTACTACTTGTTAGCAAAGTGGGTGTGTGTGAGCTACTACTTGTTAGCAAAGTGGGTGTGTGTGAGCCACTACTTGTTAGCAAAGTGGGTGTGTATGAGCTACTACTTGTTAGCAAAGTGGGTGTGTGTAAGCTACTACTTGTTAGCAAAGTGAGTGTGTGAGCCACTACTTGTTAGCAAAGTGGGTGTGTGTGAGCTACTACTTGTTAGCAAAGTGGGTGTGTGTGAGCTACTACTTGTTAGCAAAGTGGGTGCGTGTGAGCTACTACTTGTTAGCAAAGTGGGTGTGTGTGAGCTACTACTTGTTAGCAAAGTGGGTGTGTGTGAGCCACTACTTGTTAGCAAAGTGGGTGTGTGTGAGCTACTACTTGTTAGCAAAGTGGGTGTGTGTGAGCTACTACTTGTGAACAAAGTGGGTGTGTGTGAGCTACTACTTGTTAGCAAAGTGGGTGTGTGTGAGCTACTACTTGTGAACAAAGTGGGTGTTTGTGAGCTACTACTTGTTAGCAAAGTGGGTGTGTGTGAGCTACTACTTGTTAGCAAAGTGGGTGTGTGTGAGCCACTACTTGTTAGCAAAGTGGGTGTGTGTGAGCCACTACTTGTTAGCAAAGTGAGTGTGTGTGAGCTACTACTTGTTAGCAAAGTGGGTGTGTGTGAGCCACTACTTGTTAGCAAAGTGGGTGTGTGTGAGCTACTACTTGTTAGCAAAGTGGGTGTGTGTGAGCTACTACTTGTTAGCAAAGTGGGTGTGTGGGAGCTACTACTTGTTAGCAAAGTGGGTGTGTGTGAGCTACTACTTGTTAGCAAAGTGGGTGTGTGTGAGCTACTACTTGTTAGCAAAGTGGGTGTGTGTGAGCCACTACTTGTTAGCAAAGTGGGTGTGTGTGAGCTACTACTTGTTAGCAAAGTGGGTGTGTGTGAGCTACTACTTGTTAGCAAAGTGGGTGCGTGTGAGCCACTACTTGTTAGCAAAGTGAGTGTGTGAGCTACTACTTGTTAGCAAAGTGGGTGCGTGTGAGCCACTACTTGTTAGCAAAGTGGGTGTGTGTGAGCTACTACTTGTTAGCAAAGTGGGTGTGTGTGAGCCACTACTTGTTAGCAAAGTGGATGTGTGTGAGCTACTACTTGTTAGCAAAGTGAGTGTGTGTGAGCCACTACTTGTTAGCAAAGTGGGTGTGTGTGAGCCACTACTTGTTAGCAAAGTGGGTGTGTGTGAGCTACTACTTGTTAGCAAAGTGGGTGTGTGTGAGCCACTACTTGTTAGCAAAGTGGGTGTGTGTGAGCCACTACTTGTTAGCAAAGTGGGTGTGTGTGAGCTACTACTTGTTAGCAAAGTGGGTGTGTGTGAGCCACTACTTTGACTGACTCGGTGTTTGTTAGTGCTAGTTAGTGTTGAACAAGATTATTAAAATTTGGAGTGTACGATAGGTAGCGCAGTTGGTTAGCCAGCTTTGCAATCGTGAGGTTGCGGGTTCAAATCCCACTGCCTGCCTGGTCGTGGGGTGAGTGTCGTTGACATTCAGCTAAGGATCGTGAGTGGTCTATGCAGCCCCCCGGTGTACTCAGCCGAATACTCGAGAAATCGGGTGTGAGGGTTAAATGAGGAGCTGCACATTGCAGCGAAGTCTCGGGCGAAGAAAGTATGGTACACACTACCTTAACCGTCACTGGCTAAAAACAAATCCTTCGGCTTCCTGTAACTGGCTGGTTGCACTTGTGTAACAATATGGCTGTTGGAATACTCCGAAGTAAAATAAGTGTCTAGATAAAAAAATACTACGGTAGATTAGTTAACTGAGGTTCAGGATATCACTGCATAGTCCTCTCCAGGGTGACTGATTCATCAAATATTCGGTGATATTTAGCATTCTGTTGCCGAGCATATTCGGTCAGTCGAATATTCAAAGATTTTGTCGACCGAAACGGAGGAATGTCCTCGGTAGACAGTTGTCATCCTCACACATTCCACACTCTTTACTTTTAATTGTTTAACTAGGGTGCCTCAGAAGCAGAACTGAATTGGGTTGTCCTCACTTGGGGTCAGACCACTACTTTTAATTCATCACAGGCACAATCAATTAGACTGATGTGTTCGGTCTTAGTGTTGGAATTAAAATATATCCTTGTGTTTGACATCATTTACATATTATTAATTTGAAATGAAACCTTGTGTTTGAAATCCAACATATTTCAGTGACGATATCTTCTCGTTGAAATACCACCCGGGTAAGACGCTATGTGTGGGGGCTAGCTACATTTCTCTGGAATGTGCCGGGTTTCTGAACGGTATTGGAGTGGACACCACTGTACTCGTCAGATCTATTTTACTCAGAGGATTTGATAGCGTGAGTTGGAAGTTCAGTTAATAATAGAGATCAAAATAAATAAAATCAAATGTTATGTACAGCAATTTATCGATAAATATTTGTGTCAGTTATTTAAGAAACTATAGAAAATGCTGTAAAGGATGCAGCAGTTGCCTGATGTGGTTGGGAATCGTTTACATATTACGTCAGAACCATGGTACGAAAATGTGAAAAATTTTGACGATAATAAAATATCTAGACACACACAAAAAATGTGTATGTAAACTTGCTGACGTATGGGGTCAGAAATCTGCAGAATCTTGCTAACGTAATATTTGAACTTTATCTTATATAGTTTTGAAGCTCTTATCTTTCCTGTCTGCATATGGGCTGTTAAGTTCACATATTTGTACTGATACCTGATATTAGAAAATATATATTATAACTGCTCAACAAAAGTTACAATACCTCTTGTGTATTTGACGGAAATGGATGGAGTGTATGGTTTAGTGGCATGTAGGATAGGTATTACGTTACTGATATTAATTAACTTATAATTGTATTGTTACTTTGTAGCACTAAAATCAGTTATGAAGATTGTGTTCGTGTGTGTGTGCCGTAAATTACGAGGTTACGTGAATTGTCTTCCAAAAAATATTAATCCATTAATAAGAGCTGTAGAGACAGATACTCGACTGAATTGTAAAACACCCGAGGTATTTTCTTAGGCGTGGTTGGGGCGTGGTCGATTTAAGTAATGGTGGAATACTTGAAATACTTTCTATTTAAATTAGAGTTATTAGAAAAGATATGTAAAATACTTGCTATTTAAATTAGAGTTATTAGAAAAGACCGTTACACAACAGTTGATTTTAGCTGAATCCTCAGAGGTATTGACACGCGTTGATAGATTTGGATTCAGATGTGACCAACAATAATATTATATATATCCTTGTTGTGTTACAAAATCATAGGACTCGTTTCAAATCAATTTTTACATAGTTTGGATATTCACTACTGTATACATACTTATTAATTATCGATGTATTATATGGTACATCTATCGTTAAAGCTATGTTTTTTGCAGAGTGTATACTGTATAGAGTGTATAGTATATAATATAATGTATATTAAATCAACATGTTTATAACCGCTAATATGCTAATTGCTGTCTTTAACAATTTCCACTGCTGGGCACATTGCCCAATAGAATTATAAAAAGAACCGATAACCCACCTACCACAGAACATTCCACATCTTGTAAACACTCTTCTTCACACTATTTTCTTTGGCAGCCCGGTATTTTACCTCACAACCAGTACTTGAGCCGAGTGTTAGTGATAATTGCACGGATATAAAGATAAACTAGTTTACATAATATATCAAATACCTTCTAGAATAGGTCACATTGTCCAGATTCCAAGCAGATCTTCCCTACTATATTACTAGTTGTAACGTAAAATGGAGTTTTTCCAGTATTGTACTAATTTTCCCAGTAATATAATGAAGACGTTTTTCCGGGCTTTGACAGTAACGTTACCATATATTGTAATCAGGAGGCGGGTTGTATAATAGTCTCTGTGTTCCACAATCAATATCAAGACATTGTACTGTATAGATTGTGGAGTAACTTGTGGACTGAGCACCATTCCAACCTCGTCCTGTTGTAAAACTGTATCTGTAATCCTGAGATGATTACAACCCTTACTGGCTTACTGGGGATTCAAACCCTTGAACTCTAGAATGATTCGGAACGATAACATTAATCATAGTAAATAGTAATAATAATAATAAAATGTGCCGTGGTGAAGGTGAAGAAGGGAGCAAGAGCCGTTTTCGAAGGCATCTCCCTACCCACAGGTGAACAGATCCATGAGTTGGAGGACGAGGGCTATAAGTATCTGGGAATACTAGAAGCCAATGATATACTGCACAAAGAGATGAAAGCACTGGTTACAAAGGAGTATATCAGAAGAGTTAAAAAGGTTTTAAAATCCCAGCTTCATGGCAGGAATAGTATACAAGCAATTAACACATGGGCTGTACCTGTGATAAGATATGGAGCTGGAATTCTCTCATGGAATGCTGGAGAGACCAAAGCCTTAGATGTCAAGACCCGGAAACTGATGAGGATAAATGGAGCTCACCACCCCCAAGGAGATGTTGATCGGTTATACGTAAGCCGTCAACTGGGTGGCCGTGGGCTACATAGTATAGAGGAAGTCGTAAAGAGAGAGGAGAATGCACTCACCACTTATGTGGTGAGAAGTAGAGACCCAGAACTGATTGCTCTGAAGGACTACTTTGTCAAAGACAAGATACTCTTGGGTGAAGAGATAGAGAAAGATATCGACCGAACACAACGCGAGGAAATCCGCAAGGAGAAGTGGACTGCTAAAGTGATGCACGGACAGTTCCCAAGGCAGATGATGGGTATAGCGGACCCGTTAACCTCTTGGAACTGGCTCACTCAACAAGACTTGAAGAAGGAGACAGAAGGATTGTTGATAGCAGCCCAAGACCAAGCACTTAGGACGAATTATGTGAAGCACAGGATTGACAAAACACCTGGCTCTTCTCCCCTCTGCAGACTCTGCAGAAATCATTACGAGACAATAGACCACATACTGAATGGGTGCCCAAAACTTTCACAGACAGAATATAAGTGTCGGCATGACAAAGTAGCTGCCGCATTGCACTGGAGTCTGTGCAAGGAATACGGCTTCCCACGCAGTAAAAGGTGGTACGAACACCGGGCAGAGAAGGTGCTGGAGAACGAAAAAGTCAAGATATTGTGGGACTTCCATGTCCAGTCGGACCACGTTATCGAACACTGCAGACCGGATCTCCTCCTGGTAGACAGGGTAACCAACGCAGCAACCATCATTGACGTTGCAGTCCCAGGAGATACCCGGATCCTGGATAGAGAACAAGAAAAGATACTGAAATATCAAGACCTAAAAAGAGAAATTAAGAAGAACTGGAATTTACGAAAGGTCACAATCGTCCCTGTGGTGATGGGCGCATTAGGAACTATCACCATTAACTTTCGTAAACACCTCGACGCAGTCCACTGCAATCTGAGCATCTCTAATCTCCAGAAGACAGCTCTGCTAGGGTCAGCCAGAATTCTCAGGATGGTCTTAGACATATGATATTGTTGAGAGTATTATACACTGTAGATATTCTATATGGGCAATTCCACGATAACGGTAACCAGTAACAAAATAATAAAGTTTGGAGGTGGTTTGGGAGAGATAGAAAATCTTTAAGATATTTGACCATATTTTCAGGGGCAAAAAACCGTTTGTTGATATCTAGCCTAGTTTAAAAACTGTAGCGCGTCAAAGTTGGCTTAAATTTAGTGTATCTTTAGTGTGAATATCCAGTTATTTTCCGAAAGATTTTAGGGAGCTTCATTAATCGTAGAATTCAATATTTTATCCTGTAAATCAACCTAGTGGGCTTCAGATAGAAGGCCAGCCTAATTTTGAGGGCCAAATTTCTTTACTTTTTGAGTGTCTTATGATCAAATTTTTCCTCTTCGCGTGTGAATAACGCTACCAAATAGTGAAAAATGTTTTACTGTGGCTACACTATAAGTCTGTTTGATTCGTAACTCTCTCTCTAACGGCAACTTTAGTCATCTATAAAGGTCAGAAAATTTCATTCGTTTTGTCACACTGGAAGTGCAAAAAGTAGGGGTAGTGTGATTCACAGGTAGCGTAATTCACAGCTTGGTAGTGTAATTTACACAGCGGAAAATTAATAAAACAAGTGGTTTAAACGCTTTGTTGTGAAATAAATTGTACTTTCAATACTTCCAGGGCAATTCCAGGGACCTATTTTCAACAACTGCCTGAAAGTGTTGGTAATTTAATCGAAATTAGGGTTCCGCCAGGGCAAAATGTGCCACTTTTAGACCTTAAATCGCAAAAATAATGATTTTTAAATGGATTAGGACATCAAAATTGATTTGAAAGTGTTTTATAGTCATTGTTACGTCTGGGAACACTTATTTGAGTAATTTAAAGGCTTATTTTCAGAAAATATCAGCAATTTGGGGCTAAAATTACCTTATTTTCTTGTCACGTAACTAAATTTTGCTCAAAAGAGCAGTGTTTTTGCCCCAAAAAATTCTAATTTTTATCAAAAACCATGTATAGAGGTATCAAATTAAAGCTCTTGATGACCTCTTCACATTAAAAACACAAAGAAGTAGTTTAGAATTGATATAAGTGATAAAATGGTCTAAAAATGGATTCAAAAAGTTATAAATTTCACCCATTTTCTGTCTAATCATGAACCTTTGAGAGCTCATAAAAAAATCATGCCACAATGTTACACTGTACATTTTTCTAGGATTACTCTAAATGTCCTATACTTACAGATAGATCAACTTATAGATGCTTACCAAAGTTAATTTGCAACTTATTTTTGTAGAATGTCCTAAAAAATGGCAAAAAATTGCCAAAAAATGCAATTTTTGACAAAAAATGAGGTAAAATTAATATTTGAGGTCAAATATCCATTTAATCACGCTAAAAACCTTTTTAAACGTTATTTTGGGGCAAGATACCCCTAGAATACATGTTTTGTGGTATATCATACCCCTTAGTCATGCCTATGTCTTATGTCTACCTCGCATGGGTGCCTGGACCACTGTGGTATGGCAGTAGGGTGTAATCTACACCATTACCAGTATCTAATTGGACCAATTAGTAGTCAATTTAATTTAAATCAGTAATAGTCAGTCTACTTCACCATTTTACAATAGCAGCAACCAAATTAAGAACAAGCAAACATCAATACAACGCACAAACAGAGCAACTGGGCAGAGTGTGAGTTACACTACGTCCAAATGTGAATAACGTTTACTTCCTATATTGTCCCTGTACTACACACATTCCACAAATTTATGTTAGGAAGGACATAGGAAGTTGAAAAAATGTGTACTTTATTGTGATCAAGCCTTATTGTAACTTCTGCTATTACACTGGGGCACGAATTGCAATTTTAAGGCAAGATTTCTAAAACACCAAATTATGCCTGTGAATAACGCCTACTTTTTAAAATGCTGCTCACATAAAAAGTATAAGAGATAGACATTAAACTTTTGTTGCCACATCATCACAAACGTTTAAACTTCATTCTGACTTTATATTATCATGCTGCTAATGTTAGCCTACAATTAGCATGCAATTAAAAGCTAAATTTTGTGCAAAGTGTGAATTACACTACGTGGAATTGCCCATATTTAGTTTATTCTTCACTGGATACTGTAATAAACACTTTTTACCTGGTCCTCTTATTTCTCTTCCCTTGCTATGCAAGCCCTGTCTCTTGTTTATACAATTTTTAACCCGTATATTGGGTAGACTGTGTATTTGTTATGTATTTTATATTAAATACAGTTTTGTGTACAAGTAATTATTGTTATTTAATGGACTAAGGGGTATACATGTGTTGGAGTTTTTCTCTTATTCTTCTTCTCTTGCTCTGCATGCCCTGATTCTTGTATAAACATGATGTCTGTTTAAATATTGTATATTCTTGTATTGATTGTGGTATTTTGTGGGTCAGATTCAGCAATACCCAATGGGTACTTGCTGAATCACTGTTTTATACACTCTGTAGCCAGTCCCTGTGTTCCGTCCCTTGCCCTGCAAGCCCTGTTTCTTGATTATATAGCATTTATTTATCGTGTATTACATTGTAGTATGTAATAAACATTTGTAGTAGTGTAGGATTGTTTGAATTTCTTTTTGCTAGGTTTTATAATATTTACTTGTATAATTTGTGATTGTTTCTCCCGGTTTTCTTCCCTTGCGTAGCAAGCCCTGTCTCTTGTAAAAACAACCTCGAAAGATTTGTAGATACACATAGTCTCTACACCTTTACCCTCTGGTCCCTAGGGTCAGCTGATCCCGGGCCAGAGGGAAACTACCGACTGCCAAGGTTTGACGCCTAGGCAGTCGAGACCTCTTATTGAGACCCTTTATAATAATAAATAATACAGTTATCTTATCCATGTTATCTGTTATCGTATGGCAGTATGTAATATAACTTAGTTTAGTAGCTCACAGTGTCCACAATCCACATAGTATCGGTATAGGCAGTATACCGAAAGAAAACTGGGCTGTGGCTCGCTGGAAATACTTTTAGTATAGAAGTGTATTACTTAAAATAGCTTTAACTTAGATGGGAGCTTTTTGAGGGTGAACATTTTTGCCTGTCAGTTATTGCGATGTGCATTGTACGTGGTGTCTCTAGAAAAAAAAAACCCAGTTGAAGATAAAGAGTTGGTTTACTAATTACTATAATTAGGTAATTACTATAATGGTTCAAAGCTCTGTTTATGCGGGTTTAAACACACATTTATTGACGTTGTGATTATCTAGAGTTGTAACGTATCTGTTTTTCAGGATTGCAGTGAGAAGATAGGAGGTTACATGGAACAGAGCGGAGTTAAGTTCATCAGACCGGGTCTTCCTAAGAAGGTGATGATCGAATTTAAACATCTGCTTATTGTTATTTATCACTACAAGTTACTGAGGAGTGAGGAGGAGGACAGCTAGATGTTATTTCACTGTGAGGAATGTTTAAATACGTCACTATAAAAACCTAGTTATTAGTATAAATACCTAGAATACCGCAGACAACATGTCCGATAATGAGGCCTAACTCTAAATCTAGATAATTATAAAAACGTAGATAATTATAAAAACTTAGATAATTATAAAAACGTAGATAATTATAAAAACTTAGATAATTATAAAAACTTAGATAATTATAAAAACGTAGATAATTATAAAAACGTAGATAATCAGATAATCATAAAAACGAAGATAATTATAAAAACGTAGATAATTATAAAAACTTAGATAATTATAAAAACGTAGCTAGCCGAGTAATGACTCCACAAGATAATGATAGTTCACAGGTATAATTATAATTACGGGCCAGTGTTTTTACCGTGTACACCATTAGTCCCGATAGTTATCATGTGTGTTTTCAGAGTCTCTCTGGTAGTAACCAATAACACGACGTGTGCTGGAGAGATAAATGGTTACAGTAATTTCATCCTGCTTTATTAGAATTTATAGTTTATACCTTTAAATATAGTAATATTAATTGTATCTACATCTAGTTTATTATAGTAAGGTAAAGATGTTGTAACAATAAACATTTCACAGGAGTATTGTAACTTGAATAACATTATATATAAACATTTCACCACTCATTAAAACTTTGATCATCAGTAATTGTTGTAGTGTAGTAAAATTACTTAAGAGTTCTAAAACTAATGATAGTTCTGAAAAATATAAAAGAAGTATTGTTAATTTTCTGTAAACCTTAATAAGATGAGTATGAATTAAGTTGTATCTACATCTACGGCCATATCATATGGGCGCCGAAAATGGCCTTAAACTGTTATTAATGAACTCAGAAATAAGGGTCTTAAGACTTACGTCTCTATGAAACCCATCATGAGCTCTTTGTAATATTATATTGCATGTAATTTCACAGGGTTATTAAACTTGTATCTCCTATTTACTAAGAGACAAGGTTTACTTATGTAAAGCTTTACTATTTATTAGCTAAGTAAGCTAACTCAACGTAGTTACATTGGGAACTTAAATTCATTATTAAGTTACTAAGCTGGTTATATTTAAACTAAGATCCGGACGTCTCTTGGCTGGTTTCGCCTTTCTCCTCCACAGAATATGTTGGTAGTTGGTACACCCATGTGGGATGTAGAGAAATCTCACACAAGTTTAGTTACCACACGCGCACGTGCAGTTACTGATCCAGGCACACGCGCACGTGATCACGCGCATGTGCAGTTAGTGATCCAGGCATTCACAGTCCTACCTAACACTGCCTTGTAATGATACCTGTAGGAATATTTAATACCAATAATTAAATAATGCTCATTATTCAAGATGTCAAATTTTATTAATAGAATAATGTTCAAATACAGTTCATTTTCCAGTTTTCTCCAGAAACCCAACGTATATTAAAGTATTTAATTTCTACGTTCCGCAGAAATGTGGGACGGGTACGGTAATGAACGTCAATGCTCTTGCAAGTAAACGGTATTTAAAAGACTTCACCTATTAACATGGTCGCATTTTATTGAATTCAGTCCAAAAAAAGAAACAATGGTCATAATTTGGAATGTTACAATGAAACCTAACATATCACATTCCTCCTTTTGTGAAATCTTAAAAAATAAATTCTTTAGTACTTAAAACGAGCTGCTATTGAATCTGTTGAATGTTGACAGTGACAGTTCAACTGTGTTCATGTTCCATTGTTCATTGTGAAAATGGGACCTGTAAATGCTGGGAATACCACACTATATAGCAGACAGCGCCGTGTTACAACCCCTTATGTGCCGTATTGTGTTGATTCACATTAATGGTACATAATGTAGAGGGAAATGTGCAAAGTATCCAGATTTAAGGGACTAATCTGCCTAAAGGTTCAATAGTTTAGGTGTGGATACACTATGCTCAGACTCTCCGGTATTCTATCCAATTTACCGAACATCCAGTTTCTATCCAACTAAAACTGTAATGATATCAGAAACTGAATGCGTGCTACTCCTTGGTGTATCAACTACCGTTCTTATATGAGAAAACTTATTGGTGCAGTGTGCTTGTGTTTAATCATCTGATCACATGTTGGACAGTAGTCACCCACCTACACTTAGATCACATTGTAATACTGCGTTCACTCACACATGATTCATGACATACATGTATGTAGCATGTATGTATGTCCACTCACACATGACTGCAATTAGATTATGCTCATCTCCTCGTAGGTCTCTTCTCTCGAGTCTCGCATCATTAATCTTGTTCCTGGGCTTTCATTCTGGTTGTCATGGAGATAAAGATAAGTATTACTTATAACTTAACAACTAGTGTAGTATGTGACCCAGTGTAGTATGTGACCAAGTGTAGTATGTGACCCAGTGTAGTATGTGACCCAGTGTATTATGTGACCCATAATACAATGAATTGTCTCCCTCTTTTTTTACTGAATGTAAATTCCACCTGTGCCCCCAATATAAATAGTGTGATAATTTCAACATTTCTTCTGAGATATTAGGAGCGCTAGTACCAGTGAATCATGTAATAAGATACGACGTGAAATTGTAATTCCTGTTGAAGTATGATTAAAACAAAGCTACTGCAGATCGAATTTAGCGAAATTGCTGCAGTAACTTTCACTGATATCTTATTAACCTACTCTCTCGCGAGCATTTTACAGTTTTACAGCTGGTTTCAACAATATCCCGGTCATCCTACACCTACACCCCCACCTAAAATTTACAAATAACTAACTCATGATCTACTGTCTTATGATATTTTCATATTATATTTAAATTTAAGACTTATATTATCTAATCTACGTTACACACAACTTCATGCTATTGTTTCAGATTGAGTGTATTAAAGAAGCTACAGCGGACACAGCTCCAGAACTCAGAGTTACTTATACCCACAATGGAGAGGAGAAATCAGACATCTATAATACAGTGAGTATCATGTGTACCTGGTTACCTGGTTACCTGGATACCTGGTTACCTGGTTACCTGGTTACCTGGTTACCTGGTTATCAGACATCAGACATCAGACATCTATAATACAGTGAGTATCATGTGTACCTGGTTACCTGGTTACCTGGTTACCTGGTAACCTGGTTACCTGGTTACCTGGTTACCTGGTTACCTGGTTACCTGGTTACCTGGTTACCTGGTTACCTGGTTACCTGGTTATCAGACATCAGACATCTATAATACAGTGAGTATCATGTGTACCTGGTTACCTGGTTACCTGGTTACCTGGTTACCTGGTTACCTGGTTACCTGGTTACCTGGTTACCTGGTTATCTGGTTACCTGGTTATCAGACATCAAACATCAGACATCTATAATACAGTGAGTATCATGTGTACCTGGTTACCTGGTTACCTGGTTACCTGGTTACCTGGTTACCTGGTTACCTGGTTACCTGGTTACCTGTGTACCTGGTTACCTGGTTACCTGGTTACCTGGTTACTTGGTTACCTGGTTACCTGGTTACCTGGTTACCTGGCTACCTGGTTACCTGGTTACCTGGTTATCATACATCTAAGCTATGATACAGTGAGTATCGTGTGTAGTCGTGCAATGTTGTTGTTATCAGACATCTATGATACAGTGAGTATCATGTGTAGTCGTGCAATGTTGTTGTTAGCTATTTAGTGAGATTATTGGAATCACTAGTTTCTTAGGGATAGGGGCGGTAGTACCAGGTTTGGTTTTGGTTTAGGGAGCAAACTTGGGACATATAGACCTCCAGGATGGAGATCAGAATATAGAGGGTGGCCCAGAGTTAATTACTACCTTCAGTGAAAGCAGGATTAATGAACGAATAGTGTGACATTGGGTTCTCAACCATGGAAATTTAGAAGTCCCTACATGCTGTTCTTTCTGGCTCCATGTGCTAGTTAGGGGTCTGAGGTATCCGAAAAATTATGTTTTGAGTACCCAAAGTGTTCTGGGTGCCAGGAATGAGGTTATTAAAGCGGCGAAAATGACCGATTTTGGACTATTTATGAGCTTTTTTGCCCATTTTCATGAGATAAAGAATCAGGAAAGCTGCTCTAGATGATTGAAATGGTTGATACCAATGAGGATACACCCAACACACATAAATATTCGTGATATATATGTGATTTTAATGAGAAAAATATGATCTCAGGGCCCATTTTATACCAAAATTTGCCAAAACCACTCGCACTTGTCAAAGCTTCCTCATTTTAGACACATTTAATGATTATTATGGTATCTAACTTATGGTGGATCTGATAGGAGTATGTCTTAGCTTCATTTTAAGCCATCAATGAGCATGCTGGTGTGTATGAAAGTACTTTTATCCTCCCGTGGCCGTCCATTGATATAGTCTGGGCCATGCGCGCGCGCGCGCGCGCGCGCGCTTTTACAAACATGAATTTTCTCCCTCAGTATCTATCTAAAGCTTTTAAAGACATGATTTGAATGCTATCCTACTCAGCACATGAGTGCTACAGGATGGTGAAAGAATTTCTATAAAAAATCATTAAATGTGGAAGATATGAGGTCATTATATGTGTGTGCGCGCGCGCGCGCGCGCGCGCTTTTACAAACTTGATATCCTCAGTCCTTTCACATATACTGAGATTTTGTTTCAAACTTAATTGACTCTGAACCGAAATTGCCAGAGGAAACAGATAGTGTAACTCAGAAAGACCACAAATGTATAGTTTGTGAGATATTGAGGTTATACTCCAAATAATTTACAATGATGTCACACCAGAAAACCTCTATTTTTGGTATATTTAACCTCATATCTCGAACGCCCAGTACTGGATTGAGCTAAACTTGGTCAGGTTTTGTAGCCCTGACTATCCTCGATCATATGGAATAGGAATAAAACTGTTTAGATGTTCTATCTTAATTATATTAGGCACTTAGTTCTGAAAAGTGAGAATGTCATTAATACTGCTTTCACTGCCCTGTGTACCGTACTATCAGTATGAGGCTAGGATACGGGACGCGCTCATCTACCGCCCTTATCCCTAATAAAACTAGGGAGTCCATGAGTATCATGTAGTTGTAGCCGTATAATCATTATGTTGTTGTTGAATATCAATGAGTGATATTCATTATTTAATAACAAATAATTCATGTGTTCGATAATGTTGATGTTCTCTATTCTAGCTCGAGTAAGGAGAAGATATAATTACTGGATAATGAAAGTTCTATAATTATCTAGTTTACATTGTGTCCTTAATAGGGATTCCTTGCTCGAGTCATAAAACATCAGAAATTTTCAACACAAGTAAGTTTGGTATTGAGTTTGACACGAGATCGTGGAATTTGTTCTAGCTAAATACCCCAGTTTGAAGACTTGACCGATCAAGCGTACAAATCACAGTCACGTCACGTGACCGATCAAGCGTACAAATCACTGTCACGTCACGTGACCGATCAAGCGTACAAATCACTGTCACGTCACGTGAGGTTAATGTGATATTTACTGCAGACAGCATCAAAATAACAGACGCATTGGATAATGAGTTGCTATTACAATTAGTAATTGTAATTTTCATCATGTCTTCATCAGTATTACCTGGTTACCTGGTTACCTGGTTACCTGGTTACCTGGTTACCTGGTTACCTGGTTACCTGGTTACCAGATAACTGATATCGGTTAGTTTCGTCAGAACCATGTATTATTACTATGATTGAAACCGGGGCAGTGAATACATCTTATTTCATTGCATATGAAACCGAGGGGTTAAGGTTCCGTTCAGGAATATATATATACTAGTGTAACTGCCGCAGTTAAAAAGGGTAGGAGTAATTACCCGCTGAGTCAAAGCCCGCATTAGGCGAGCAATTCTATTTGGAGTTCCCTCACGTATCCAATAGTATCTGTACCACGACTATTACACCTCATCACTCCCGTCTTAAACCGATTCAAATCGTTTTAGAAATTAACCCTTATTAACTCCGCACCACACCCGCCTTATATTTGAAAACATGCATTACATTGTCGTATGAAAGTAAACAAACAGACCGCAATGAGTGGCTCCCCCCCCCCTCCTAATAAGCTGATAGTATTACACGCATAAACATTGTCGTATGAAAGTATGAACTGTCTGTACAGTTTAAACAGACCGCAATCAGTGCCCTATTCTCCTAATATCACTTGCGGAGCTAACCTAATTACCAAAGCTACAATCTACAGTGCAGTAATAGAAAAGAGAGCGAATAGGAAGAGAAAGTGAGCCATTTTAGTGGCTCACTCCATAATGTTGCATTTATAGTACAAAACTATCAATTAAGCCACTTACCGCTGGCCGATTTAAAAAAAAATTGCATATGGGCTTCGTCAGAGTTTTGTCGACACTATACCGAAAAAACCAGTCCCGTAACTCTTACCATTTTCTTTGTATAACCGTTCGGAAATTACACACGAACGATCAGACACACACACACACACACACACACATTCTGGTGTTATTAAGTTGATATGGACACGTTCATTTGAGTTTGAGGATATTGGTAAATATAAGTGACCCTATTAAAAGGCACAGTGTAGTTGACTTTGTCACACTATTGAACTACTTAAACCCTTGATGGTTAGGATAATCGTCTCATCCTCTAGGCTAACTTTGTCACATAACGATATCTTAATCAGGTGATAAGATATCGCTTAAATACGGCCGGCACGGAAATGGTTACATTGTCACACTATAAACATGTGACGGAGTAAATATGGACCCCTTGCTGCCGTTTTTGACCAAATTTTTGAGTGTCCAGTTGATTGGATGGGTACATATGACCATTACCTACATATTTGACGACTTTTTTCGTTATATGGTGCATTCAGGTTTACTCTGTCACACATTAAAGAAAATATGTGATGAATGTTTAGGGCACCCTGATAAGCAATGCTGAGTAGTGTAAGTTTATTTGATGGCCTGGAAGTGCTGGGAATTGTTATCAACTTAATAACACCAGAATGTGTGTGTGTCTGTGTGTGTGTCTGTGTGTGTGTCTGTGTGTAATTTCCGAACGGTTATACAAAAAAAACGGTAATAGTTACGGGACTGGTTTTTTCGGTATAGTGCCGACAAAACTCTGACGAAGCCAATAAGCAAATTTTATAAAAATCGGCCGGTGGTAAGTGGTTTAATTGATGGTTTTGTACCACAAAATATGTTACATAAAATGGCTTGAGAAGAACGGCAAGAGTTACGGGGCTAGCTCTCTCTCTCTCTCTGCATATGTAGCGTATATATTACATGGCGTATATATTACATGGTCATATAATACTATAAACTTATTAGGGGAGGGAGTGCTCAAACGGTCTGTTTGGACTGTAGAGAGAGTTCATACTTTCATACGACAATGTAATGCATGTTCACAAATATGATAGGCTGGTGTGGTGCATGGTGTTAAGGGTTAATTTCTATTGATTATTGATTAAGAATTACTATCTTTTAAGCATACTATTGGATACGTGAGGGCACTCCGAATACAATTGCTCGCCTAATCCGGGTTTTGACTCGGCGGGTAATTACTCCTACCCTTTTTAACTGCGGCAGTGAAATCCCGGCCGTAGGCCGGGTTACACTAGTTATATCATATAGTCGTAAGGAACTAAAACACAGAAGGCACAACCAAGCTTATTTTGTCACATAATCTTGATGATATCTGAACATGTGTGAAATTGAACAAATAATGATATACCAGCTTAAACCCCTTATATTATACGTACTATGGATCAAACAACACTGCTAGTACCATGCACCAGTCACATAAATCATTATCAGGTGGTAATATGTTAACAGTGTCACAATTAAACTACCGCTACATGGTCAAAAATAGGGTAATTTCGTCACAAAAAATTATTATAACTCTGTTAGCTCCTTGCTGGCAAAATAACTAGTTTATCGAAATTTTTTTGATGATAAGGTTACATAGTATTCTAATAGAGGTATAGTTCTTCAAAATAGGGGCAAGACATGTTTACTTTGTCACATCAGTTATTATAAGAGTTAGGTAATCGTCATCAGATTAAAAGATATTTTTCGTAGTTTGGATCGATTAATACTTTAATATACCTGTAATAAATCCTATGCCAATTTTAACACACTATCTTGATACTGTTGGGGCAGAAAAAGTTAATTTTGTCACATTTTCAATGTCTTTGACAAATTAATCTAAATTTTTTAAATTGAGCTCTTATGTTCTGGACAATATTCTTCCAACCGTTTCTGAAAGAATATTGAATTCTAATAGAGTTATAGATCTTCAAAATAGGGGCAAGACATGTTTAATTTGTCACATCAGTTATTATAAGAGTTAGGTAATCTCCATCACATTAACATATATTTTTTTGTAGTTTGGATTGGTTTATATAGGTAATAAAGCAGCCTATGCTAATTTTTACACACTATCTTGAAATTTTTGGGGCATGAAAAGTTAATTTTGTCACATTTTTAGTGACTTTGACAAATTTAACCTAAAATTGTTAAACTTAAGCTCTGATGTTCTGGACAATATTCTAATAGAGGTATAGAATATAGATCTTCAAAATAGGGGCAAGACATGTTTACTTTGTCACATCAGTTATTATAACTTTATAAGAGTTATTATTAGAGACTATTTCATTCTATAATCATTGTTTTTAATCTATTTACGATTTCGTATAATTTTTTGTGACAATGTAAACATCAACTGATCTTAACTTGCATCAATTACATTGTCATCATATAAAATTTTCCCGCCTTTCAAACCAAAATCAGATATAAATAATTCGCCCAAAATTTTAAATTTAATATATTGTGACAGAATTAACCTCATTTCCCAATAACCAAGTGCCTGTATTAGCTAACTATTCAAAACAACATATTTTAGGGCTATGATTGGTAGAGCAACCATCAAATAATGAGTTGAAAGGGTTTTTAGGACACCTCACAGTAGAATAGAGGTATGGTATCATGAGTGTGACAAAGTTACCTAAATATTGCCTTGTAACCGTTCGATCCGTGCCCATTAACCAATGTTGTATCATAATTGTTAGATTGACCTAATTTACTATATTTCAGACCAAGGAATGATAATTAGACAAATGCAGTTAACTAAGTCACACAAAATGTGACATTTGAAACATTATAGTGCCTAACAACAATAGATTTTCTTTCTGAGCGGTGCATATGGGAGTATGGGTTACGTGGCTAATGTTCAGAACTTCTGAACGTGCTAGGTTAATAGATGTCAAAATTAAGCCACTATCGTCAAAAACGCTATTATTTTTGTTTACCAATATCCTCAAACTCAAATGAACGTGTCCATATATATAATGTTGAGATTTTAGTATAGTTCACTATTTATACGATATCTGGTCAGTGATAACCAATTCCTCCCACGTTGACTATCAACCATACGCCGCGCGCGTGAACCCTAATGTACAACTATCAGTGTCAGAAGTATTTATGATAATTATTATCATATTTAAAATATTACTGCATTGCACAGTAAATCTGCTTTGTGCTAGAGCAAATAACTTTGACAAATGAGTATGATATACATTAGACAGTATAACACTACTACAAACTACTTTATATTACTACAGACGCCGTGTACAATCCTGCTAATTAATTTTATACTACTATATAATTAACGTTTTTATCTTATATGTCTTCACCTTCAGTAGCCTTGTTAATATTATAACTTGGCCATCTCCAATGTAATATTGTTCGCTTGAATAAATCAAAATTGATTTTTATTACAACACAGAGATATGCCTGACTAAACGTACACATGGTTCTGTCATAAAACGGACAGTTTATAACTAATGATTATTAATATATTGTAGATAGTTTAATGATATAATTAGTGACGTCACAACACAACAACACTAATACTGAACGGTTCATCACGTGGTATACTGGCTACGTTCCACCATTAGTGACGTCACAACACAACAAGTGACGTCACAACACAACAAGTGACGTCACAACACAACAAGTGACGTCACAACACAACAAGTGACGTCACAACACAACAAGTGACGTCACAACACAACAAGTGACGTCACAACACAACAAGTGACGTCACAACATAACAAGTGACGTCACAACACAACAAGTGACGTCACAACACAACAAGTGACGTCACAACACAACAAGTGACGTCACAACACAACAAGTGACGTCACAACACAACAAGTGACGTCACAACACAACAAGTGACGTCACAACACAACAAGTGACGTCACAACACAACAAGTGACGTCACAACACAACAAGTGACGTCACAACACAACAAGTGACGTCACAACACAACAAGTGACGTCACAACAACAACACTAATACTGAACCGCACGTGATATACTGGCTACGTTCCACCATAACATTAAATTATTAAATTGTTCAGTTTCCGTGTATGGTAGTGTAGTATATGTGCCCAGCCTCCATGATGGTAGCAGTAGGCCAGGTTGGACACATCACGTACCGTCTAGAGATCTCACCAGCGTATCTTTTAAAATCACGTTATTTGTCCAATTCTACCTTTCTACTTTAAGAGGGGAGAGGGCGCCAAAAGGGGGCGCTTTTTGGGCGGAGTGGGGGGCGCCAACATGCAACGTTACGCCACTGTGCCCTGTGGTAGTAGCAGGTTAGACCACACCACGTACCATCTAACTCTGATGTTGCTTAATTAATCATTGCAAACTCATGGTAGCGTTTAGTGATACCTTATAAGTCTAATTGATGTGACCTCGTACAAGAACGTATATGTCGAGATTGCTTTTGATGTTGCGCAATCGATCGTTATATGTTAGAGTCACTTAGAGGGAGAAATAACTTTGATGCAAAAGTAATTTTGACAAAGAAAGTTGTAATATACAAATTTAAAACTGATACAGGAGGGGAGGGGGCTTAATATGAGAAAAAGTAGTGGTCAAAGGAAATGAGAAAAATAGATTTTGCGTAGATATATAGAATAGTTCAATATATTATGACGATCTATGTTTCAATATTATTATATTCTACCTGCAACTGTAGGGCCTGTCGTGATATCATGGATCGCTTAGGTTTCACCAGGATCTGGTAGTCCTCATAATTCTGCGGCCTCTATGTATCGTCATCTCGCACAACTCCGAAAAACCGTTGTGAGTTTGGCATGTGAAAATACCTGCAACTTGCAAGTAAGTGATGGAAAATAAGCCAATCGACTGCAGCTCATTCATAGTGTCACGTGACAGTGAGACTTGGTTTCGATTAGTTAGTGCCACTTTGACACTTTCTCATGCATGAACATAATGTAGGACTTTTCGATGAAGATTGAAGATGAATAATAGAAATAGAACAATCCTGACTGTACATGTTAATGAAGTTGTGATACTTTCTGTAGGTAGATGGATTGCGACAAGCCATTTGTTTTGCTATTATTTTGTACGTGACGGAAATTTTGATATAATATTACTGTGTCAAAGGAACACGCTAGCTCTTTTTAGGAAATGTGTTGTCGCAAAAACATGACAATAATAAATTCGTAATGTTAATTTAGTGAATGTAACTAAAATTCCTATCCGGAAACTTCATTACGTGTGTCTACTGTTATAGTTTTACGGTTAACTTTACATTTTCAGGTATTATTCGCAATAGGAAGAAAACCATTAACAGATAAAATAAATCCAGAATCTATAGGTCTTAAATACGATCCGTGAGTAAATGTTATGTTATAATTGTACGTAACAAAGTATCAATAGTAATTGAGTGAGATTTACACATTGTTAGTTAATTTACACCCTACCTATTTAAATAACCAAATCGCTATTCATCATATTGTTAATTATGTGAATACTTTAAAATTATCTATTGGTAACAATTCTGTCGCCATGATGTACGACACATTCACCATTGAAGCCTAGAAGGAGAACTACTTTATCCTATTGCATTATTAACAGTAAGTTATTTTCAGTAATGGTAAAATACCAGTTAATGAAGAGGAATTAACAAATGTAGATAATGTATACGCAATAGGTGACCTACTAAACGCGCCGGAGTTGACGCCACTTGCCATTCAGTCAGGGAGACTGTTAGCTAAGAGGCTATATGCTGGTTCTAAAATATTAGTAAGTATTGTGATAATTTAAACGTATTGTTATAATCGGATTATATGTATATTTAAACTTGTAGCTGTTTTACGATTTGTGATTTGATTCTTTTAATATGGTGTATGTGTTGGGGTCTGTCATGACGTCATCAGTCATGTGATCAATATATTGTGCACTTTGAATCTGCTTCTAACACGACTGGTTTGGGCCACATTCCGGTTGAAGATTAATAAAAAAAGAAAAAAGGGGAAAAAGCTTGTATCTGAACACCCTGTAAAAAACTTGCAACAAGTTATCCAAAGTGAATATTAACTATTACATTGTGTCAACTTCCCTCAAAAGCTGTGGGTGGGGACCCCCTTGGGATCATAAATGTCCGTAAAGTTAAGCACATACTCGCAACGGACGAGATAAAACTGATTAATGGTACTGATGGATTTGCAGTGATTGTTGGTTAGTGGACTGCTTACCTACATGACCACACTGATTGTACAATAGCAGGAACGCGCGAAGCTGAAATATTCAAGTCACGGGCAGACAAAACGCGCATGTGTGGATTAAATTGTCCCGCATTTTTAGTATGTGACCGAAAAGTGCATCGTAGGACTGCAGTTAGAGATAACTGATAAATGCTGGTAAAAATGTTTTAAGCGTCCAGTTCTTTGATCGGTAATATGCTGCTTTTGATATACAGGAGCTTTTGACAGATCAAAGATAATTTGGAGACCAATCCATATTTGATATTCTAATGCTTGAGAATTGAGATCACCTGTAGGTTATAGACTTTAGATAGATTTATTGTAATGTTTTGAGTAAAGGGAGGGAGTCAGGGAGGGGGTGTAATTTAACACAATAGCTGTGTAAAACTGATTGCGGAGGGGGAGGGGATTAAAATTGGCTAAAAGTGATAACGTAATACGTGAATGACCCCTAATGATCGAATTCCTCACTCCTCAGACAGACTACGTGAACGTACCAACGACCGTGTTTACTCCACTGGAATACGGTTCAGTGGGCCTATCAGAAGACCAAGCTATCGCCAAATACGGGGAAGATAACATAGAGGTTTGTTGTAATTTATCAGTCTTGTTTCTTTTCCGAGTCGGTCCTATAACGGTTTTGTAATGGACCGCTAAAAACCTGTCACAATGGACTGCTTGTTTTGTGGCAGAGTTTTAAGCACCCTAAAAATTTCACTTTTTTGTAAATATATTTCTAAGAACATTTTTACAAGCATTAAAACTATGGAAGTAATTATACGCTTTTATGATACCTTCTGTACAAATCGTCGAGCATATATCTTGATCTTAAATATTTTCAATTTTAGAAAATGATTAAAAGTTTGACAACAGTTAAACTTGCCGCGGGAAATCGAATTTTAAATGATCTAACAATAAAACAGAACGCTTCAAGTATACAAAACGTCTGAAACAACCTGTATAATATTCCAATTTTAATCCCAAATTTGTCATCCACCCACACTTGTCTGTGCAAAGAACTTACCAGCAGTTGTATTGGTGGAGCGCCAGAAATGTTTCCGAATTAGCTCTTTTCTCATCGTCTCGTACCTGCTATATCTATAAATTCTAGAACTCGTGTTTCCAATGAATGTGATAGCAGAGAAAGTGTTTGATAAAATATAAACATGGTCCCTGACATGTTTATATTTCGTCAAACACCAAATGATACATAGAATACAATCCACAAAATATCCCTACGTAATTGCAATACCAATCTCGTAGCCCCGGATTTAAGGGTAAGTGTTAGTACCGTTCACTTACTTATTTTTGTAGTAAAGCAGGATTTAAGGAAGGATAAGAAGCCCGAGGTGGCTGTTTCCCTGTCACAGTTAGTTGTATCCATTAGGAAACACTCCCTGTCCTTCCAGGTTGTTGGTGATAACATGAAACCTGATAGATTGACTGAATACGATAATGGATTCTAGTACTCAAATTGGCTAGCTATTGTCGTTTTCGCCCAATTGCTTTACCCATAACAACGTGGAACTAATAAATTAAAAAAACAGAAAAGTTTGGCCAATGATAAGGATTTGGGTCGATTCAGAGGCAAGCATCAAAACTTATTCTTTTGACAAACTCTTATTCTATCAGTTGTCTAAGTACCTGAGCATCTTTTATCTTCAAGGCACTGATCTCTGCAGTTCTCGTCACTTACATAAACGTTCTGAAATGCAAAATTGCTACTTTTCAGTTCAAGCTGTTGTGGTTTTGAGGGCCCAACACTCGGTTTTAAAGATGAAATGTTTAGATATACGGATGAATATAATACGATGCAAATAGTACCTGTTTGAAAATGAACTCTTTATCTGGCGCTTTGCACAGTTTTCGACCCAAGTAACATTCAGATTTCCAGTTAAGGTTGAGAATTTCTGAAAAGGACGGTATAAATTAAAATGGTGGCTAATACAGAATTGGAAAAAGTAGATAAATGACTGACCCAAGACCACAGATGTGGAACTTAGAATAAATGATGTCCAAGTTTAGTTTTGTCGAATGTGAAAGGGTTTCCTGATGGTTTCTCCTACAAACCTCGTTTCCCCAGAATTCCACTCAAACAAGAAACCGCGAACAATGCCGAAACAAAAGCGTTAGCAACCATTGATAATGTGTCTTCACTAAACGAGAGTGGTATTAATTAAGTCAGGGATGATACCAAAGTATTTCCTAGTTACCATAAATTAAAATATCATCCAGAAGGAATAGAAACAACCATAATGTATCAATAACAGCCAGCCCCCCACTTCCCTCCCCCACTTCCCTCCCCCACTTCCCTCCCCCACTTCCCTCCCCCACTATATAGGCCCCACTATATAGGGAGGTGAACCATACTTTTTGACACATGACAGTGATTCTGGGTTTTGATCTGTTAAATGGTCGATGCCGAAATCTGATTGGTTAATCGCTATCAAAAAATATGGTTCACCATTATTGAGATCTTTTACCTTCCACGATTAAGTGTAAACTGTGAACTTGTGAAGCACTAAGACAAGTTACAGTAAGACCCCGATTCACCGCGGAGTTTGGGAGAAAGGAAAAAGCCGCCGTAAATCGGGGTTTTACTGTACTATAACAGTACGGGTGAACTAATCACCTGCAGTAAATACTCATAGTTCACATGAAAGTAAGACAGTAGATATCACACCTTGCTGGATCACACCTGTAAATACTCCTAGTTCACACGAAAGTAAGACAGTAGGTATCACACCTTGCTGGATCACACAAGGATCACCTTGTTCTCATCTGTCACAGATTCACGTTGTCTAAAAAAAAGAGGTTCTCATAGATAGATAAGAATATTGCCCTTATCTGCAGACTTTGTCATGAGTCCCATACAATGCATTTTAAGGGGGGGGGGGGGGGGGGGGGGGGGGGTTCACCCTGATTTTTTTGTGAAATTTGATTTGGAGATAGCAATTGACCAACAAACTAGGGCCTGTGACCAAACTTTTGAGGGGGTCCAGGACTCCGGGTGCCCACCGGTGCCCGCGGGACAGCCACGCCCATTTTTGGTCCAAATTATGCCCAATTATGCCAAAACACCTTAGCATGCTCATAACCAAGATTATAGGTGCTTTACTTGTAGCTAGTGGTCCCCTGAACTCGTATAGGAATTTTCATCAAGATTGGACAAAAAATGACTGAGTTATGAGCCAAAAACCATATGCCCATATTTGGGCATACGCACCAAATTTGATAGATTTTTGCCCATAAATTAGTCAAATATCAATATTTTTGAATGAAACCTACTTTATATGAAAGGTAAGCCTAAACTACACATTCTCTGTGATTATCAGCTCAATATCTACCTAACTGTGGATTCTGTGTTCAAATAATCGCAAAAAATGAACAAAATTGACCATATCTCAGTTCGCGATATTCGCGAAACTGATTTCGCTCAAAACAATAGAACTCAATAGGGTTTCAATATTTTTTCATGAAATTTTCAGAATCAACGTAGAATCGCAAATTTCGACCTTTAGTTTTGGGACAGAATTTTGAGTTAGGCCTTTTAAAAAATTTGGCGGCCAAATTCTGAAAAATGCCCGGCAAATTTCAGAATTTGGCCGCCAAATTTTTTTTAGGCCTAATTCAAAATTCTGTCCCAAAACTTAAGGTCGAAATTTGCGATTCTACGTTGATTCTGAAAATTTCATGAAAAAATATTGAAACCCTATTGAGTTCTATTGTTTTGAGCGAAATCAGTTTCGCGAATATCGCGAACTGAGATATGGTCAATTTTGTTCATTTTTTGCGATTATTTGAACACAGAATCCACAGTTAGGTAGATATTGAGCTGATAATCACAGAGAATGTGTAGTTTAGGCTTACCTTTCATATAAAGTAGGTTTCATTCAAAAATATTGATATTTGACTAATTTATGGGCAAAAATCTATCAAATTTGGTGCGTATGCCCAAATATGGGCATATGGTTTTTGGCTCATAACTCAGTCATTTTTTGTCCAATCTTGATGAAAATTCCTATACGAGTTCAGGGGACCACTAGCTACAAGTAAAGCACCTAAAATCTTGGTTATGAGCATGTTAAGGTGTTTTAGCATAATTTGGCATAATTTGGACCAAAAATGGGCGTGGCTGTCCCGCGGGCACCGGTGGGCACCCGGAGTCCGGGACCCCTCAAAAGTTCGGTCACAGGCCCTAGTTTGTTGGTCGATTGCTATCTCCAAATCAAATTTCACAAAAAAATCAGGGTGAACCCCCCCCCCCCCCCCCCCCCCCCCCCCCCCCCCCCCCCCCCCCCCCCCCCCCCCCCCCCCCCCTTAAGGGCACCCCAGGGGCCCGCTGTTTACATTTATAAGCCTCGGATCTGGTGGAAATAGCCTGTTTTGTGCAACAGCGTCCTCTTCCTTATCAGAAAAAGCTGTCAACCGCTTGCGATCAAATAACAGAGACGGACTCTCCCTTCAAACAGGGGTCTTACCTTAGCGGTGATAGTGACATGTAAACGCAAGTAAAGGTACTTATAGGTATTACGATAATATGTGGTATGTTATAAATTTGGTAATTTATAGCTACATACTACCCAGTAATCACGAGTTTAATTGCAGCTTGGACCACCTGGTCACCTAGATTATTAAGGGCCAGCGTGGCCAGTAGTTCGGTTGTGAGCGTGTGAGGATAACTAAGTTAAAATGAGGAAAAATTGGTCGTAATTAAAATTAGTCGTTTCCCTTCTCTCTAGGCTCATTGTCATTCGTCTTGAGAGAAACTGAGGGAACTGATGAGGCAATCCTATAAATAATATATTTTATGATTATAAGTATTCTATGAATTATGAATGGTTATTTTGATCTGAAGATTTAATTATATAAATGGACGCGTGGTTTATGGTCACCCGGACATCTAGGCGGTCTCACTTACAATTTACGAAACTACAACTACAACAGAACATACTTACTGTGATTACCACTGCCATGGTGAACATATCTGGTATATATTAGGGAGATCAGGATCTCATCAGACTGAGAGATAACATCTGACATTGAAACTGAACACAGGGCCATTCGCTAGCGTTTATCGTAGCAATTAAGTGGTAATTTGTTGGCAACTGTCCTAATCAATATTTAGCACTAAGGTTAAATGTAGAGGAAACTTGCCGTCGCAATTGTCATCGCTATAATATTACACGAAACTATTTTGTTGTTAATATAGAGCTGCTTGCCACTTAGGTCCAGGATCATTATAATTTATAACGCCGGACTTCTAGGCAAGGTGCTTGGTTGTGGGACACACTCAACTAAGTAAGGTTGAGAGACCTGAAAACTCCCTAGAGAGATATCAACAGAGTGTGATCCAGAGTGTGATCCACTGCCTGACTAATCTGTGAATAGAAACTAACTGTGAACAACAAAGAATTTACATTCACTTGAGTTTCTGTGGTGCTCAGTGAAGCATTGAATTCCACATCGAATCACTACAAAAGTCATAATTAGTAACATGGACTTGAAACTGGAACGAAAAAGGGCAGATATTTTGACTATCAGACAGTTTACTTTGTGCTAATTTTAATGAGAATTAAAATGAAT